CGGCAAGGAGCATCATGAAGTGCTCTCGAAACTCGGCATCGTTCCTCACTGCCCGAGTTGAACTCATGTTCTACGAACCGAGGGTTCGGACGATTGTCTGAAGACGAGGGCGACGGACTGCGGCGCCTGCTTGCGCGCTTGTCCGCAGCCGCGTCACCCGAGGATCCGATCGCCTCGGAGGCCACCTGAGTAGCCTCCTTGAGTGCAGAGCCTTTGCCGTGAGGCTTAGTGCTCTTGGCCTGCGCCTTACCGGCTGCAGCCTTGGAGCGTGTCTTAGCACCGCTCTTAGCAGTGCCACGAGGCATGTTAACGGTCGAAGTGGAGACCTTGACGAAGAGCGCACAGGTTGCTGCTCGAGGCTCTAACTGTAAAGTGAGCCTCCGCCGCGCTCGCGCGGCCGAGTCGATGGTTTTCGACTTTGAGAATGAGAGTTTGTGACGAACATCTCTTCATTCTGATTGGTCGGTAAACCGAACCTAAGTGGGGGAGGATGTAACGGGGTACGTAGCACTAAGTGTACCCTGGTTACATGAAGTGTGACACTTCACACTTCAGGAGTATGACATGTCATACTCCGGGATATTTGGTACAAGGTACCAAGGTCATTCAAAACCAACCATTGGTTAAATGACATTGCATTTCTATAGGTAACTGATAGTTTGTATTAACCACAAACTTAACCTACCTATAAATATACTCAGTTTACAATCTACCTTATTTAGGTCACTTCGCTCTCTTTAATTAAAGAGGGGACCTGTGAACTGCCGTTCACTGAGAGTTTGTATACTCTCGGAAGATAACTTCCTCTAGCGCAAGGTGCTGTGTGACCCCGTCACAAAGGGTAAGGACAGCGCACCAGAGGGCTACCAGTTGGGCGGCTTCGTCGGATACAGTGGTAACGAGTTAGACTCGATGGGAGCCATTTGGACTAGCATTGAGTCGGTAGCGTCTATTTGAGCTACAGCTCTATCACATGTCAATCAGAGTAAAAGCTATTTTACTGACGCTAGCATGACATTTTAAGGCGTTTAAGCGGGTAATGTCAGACGGCTCGCTTGCTCTAATCTCCCAAAGGGAATTGTTTAGACTGTTACAATTAAAGTGTCCGGCACTACAGGTAGAACAGCGTATGGAGGCCTGCATGAGGACTTTGCGAGCGATCGGGCTCGGCTTGAGGGTGATCAACTATGACGACGCATCTCACCTCAAAAACGTGCTACGGATAAAGTTGCGCCATCGAGGACGCTCGGGGGCTTGCGGGTCGGAACGGCGACGTCGCAGTTGTTCCTCCATGCCGGGAATTGGTGGGGGTGCGCGTTCCTCAATCGAATGTCGATTGGTGTGCTGCAAAGGTATCCACTGTCACTTTCGCACGGACACATAGGAATGGAATATGTACCGACCTGAGTGCGACGTGCTTTGGAGTTGACTACACTGTTGTGCGTTTGGGATGTCATTCTCTTAATGCCGTTCGTGCCATCGTCCGCGTGTATCTGCTCCAAGTACCGTTCGCCTGCAGGTTGATCGTGAGTCCAACCCCTTACTCTGCCGTTGCTTATTTATAACCATACTAAGTTACGCATATTATTACCTTTCCAGCGGAACACCACGCCGGTATCGCTCTCCCACTTGGCAATACGGTTCAACAGTATCGTGGTGTATTTAGGCAGCTCTCTCTCAATACGTAAACGTGTCTTCTCGTCGGGGGCGCCATACCTAGTACGCAACCACCATGAAAAAAAAGAATAAAACATAAACGTTGTATTTGTTAAAGATGCAACGTACTGTGTGCGAGCTTGAAGAATATCCTCTCGTTTGGCAACACACTGTCCAGGCACATTTCAACTTCGATCAGTCTTCGTAGGAATGCATATCAACGAGACTTACGCTGGTGAGTTCCCTCATCCCAAATGCATGACGCTTCAGGCTTACAAGCGCTTTCTCGTGCGCCCGAAAGATCTTGTAGGACACCCCTGAGTCGGGTGTTGTCATCATTGTATCGAAGTATCTGCGCTGGTCGGGACTGTAGCCTAGAAGATCCCAGTGCTCTGTTATGGCATCACGCATTTTCGAAACTTGGACGGCAGTCGCAGCGAATCGTTTGTGGTGATGCTGGAGCCTTGTCAACTCCGCCTCGTACTACGGAACATCAGTCGTTGGAGCTACTTCGTTGGCATAAATGAAAATATAAACGTACAGCATGCAACTCACCGATGCGAGAGCAGCCTTTCCGGCTCTATTTACGGTTTCCCGGAAACAATCCCGCTCTTCTTCAGGGATCTACCACATGCCAAAGCTTAAGCGTTCATTCAACACTACGTAACGATAGACCCACCTGCAGCTCGCGCCAGAGCTCGTGAATTTGCCCAAGCATCTCCGCCATACGCAGTTCTCGTTTTACCTTGAGCTCTCTCAGCTCGACGGTTCTTTGCGAGATCTTCTGGAGCATCTCAACCGATAGATCTCGTTTCTAAAGAACAGAATGACAGCACCGTTCAAAAACTATAACGTGGCTTATCATATAAACGTAAACGCTATTGCCAAGTCACCTTCAAGCGATCGTTGACACCCGGCGAAAATGTGCGGTCGGGCTCTACCTGCAGCTCTCGAGCGAGCTGTACGCACTCGCTGACTGCCTCCAGAAGAGCAGCTCGTCGTGTGTGCTGGTCAATGATAACTCCGACCACATAAGAAAAAAAACAGCGAGGGGTAAGTGCACGTGCTTCTTACCACTTTACGTGACCTGTTCTTGACCATTTCCTGTAAGTTTGCTTTGTAGCTTTCACTAAGGATAGATGCATCCGAAGGCTACCACAACAGTATTAACACTGGAAAGAGGGTACATCATCTTACCCACTACGCACCAAAACCGACGTAGAGCCTAGCTTCCTGTCCATCATACTTAGCTGATCTTGTAGCTTGCTAACCTCAGCCAAACGGCTAGCGCGAACCTGACCCCACAGCAACCTTAGTTCGATCTCTGAAAGTGTAGAGCAAAACAGCGAGCTGTCGTACACTGTCCAGGAACTTAAACTCCATCTCAAGTGCAGCCATTCGATCACGAAGCGCACCGCCACACAGTTGATCAAGGGACTGAATGAGCCATCCCGTCGACTGTCCTTACATCACGATTCAAGTCAAAGATCGGAAACTCCATCAGCCCTTCCGTACCTCGTTGCCCTGGAACTGCGACTTGATGGTCTGAACCTCCGCCTCCAGATCCACCACTCGAGATGCAACGCGGTCGACCTCTCTACGCCAACTAGCCACTCTGGTTTGGCAGCTTTTCTTGATGGTAGCGACCAGAAGCTTCTTCTGATGTTGTTGTTCATCCTCGTTCAGCCCAAACGCCTGCCACAGCTCCGTCAACTGCTGCAACGCGTCGCCCACAACAGGCTGTATAGCCAACATGACGCTAGTATCGGGGTTGATAGCATGAGCTGCATTGCCAGTCGGAGGATCACTCTCCGCCATGATTCCTCTGCTAGAGGAAAAAAAGGCAATGCTCACGTTGACACCAGATTGTGTCGACGTACTTCTATCTGATAATGGATACATTGGTGTGCCCAACATTTCCAAGTACGTGCACCACACCAATATCAAGACAGCTCTCGGTTATTTCCGATCCTGCATTTGGTTGGTTGGTTGGTGGTTGCGCTCTTTTGACCGAAGTCGACCCCAAATGCTGCCCAAGCACAATTCATCGCTCTTTGAAAAGAACAGGAACCATGGCTACCCAACGTGAGGAGGACATCAAGATGATGCTGGCCGCTCAGGTCCACATCGGCACGCGCAATGCCGACTCCAAGATGGCGGACTACATCTGGCGTCGTCGTAACGACGGTATCCACATCATCAACGTCGGCAAGACGTGGGAGAAGCTCATGCTCGCCGCCCGTGTGATTGTCGCCGTGGAGAACCCGGAGGACGTGATCGCCATCTCGGCCCGCCCCTACGGCCAGCGCGCTGTGCTCAAGTTCGCCCAGCACACTGGTTGCCAGGCCATTGCCAGCCGCTTCACCCCCGGTACGTTCACGAACCAGATCACCAAGCAGTTCCGCGAGCCGCGTCTGCTCCTCATCACGGACCCGCGTACCGACTCGCAGGCCGTGCGTGAGTCGTCGTTCGTTAACGTTCCCGTGATTGCCTTCTGTGACTCGGACTCGCCTCTGCAGTTCGTTGACGTGGCCATCCCGGCCAACAACAAGGGCAAGCTGTCCATCGGTCTGCTCTACTGGCTGCTCGCCCGTGAGGTGCTGCGTCTGCGTGGCACGATCTCGCGTACTCTGCCCTGGGACGTCGCTGTGGACCTGTTCCTGTACCGCGACCCTGAGGAGCTCAAGAAGGCTGAGGAGGCTCAGGCCACCGCTGCCGAGGAGGCCCAGACCCGCGCTGGCTGGGGTGACGCCACCCCGCAGACCCCTGCGGAGCCCGCCTTGTACGCTGCTGAGCCTGCTGCCCCCGCCGCCCCCAACGCGGAGTGGACTGCCACTGGCAACTCCGAGTGGTCGGGTGAGGCTGGCGCTGCTTCCAACTGGGACGCCGCCGCCCCTGCTGCTGCTACCAGCGGCTGGGACTAAGTGTCTCTTGGCCTGGATGGTCAGTTGCATTTGATGCTGAGTCACAAGCTGCAACTCTATGGAGGAACCTGTTCTTTTCGATGAAGGTTTGGGGTATTCTTGCAGAGTGCAAGTGGCTACATTGTGCGGATGTGGACGCATGGAATAGACGACGGTGTTATGCGATGGCACCTGGTTAATGCGACCGATATCTTCTGTCACAATGAAGACACATTAATACACTCTTAAGACGAGCCAAAGACCACTTGTTTATCATTCATGTTCCGTCACTCATGCATAAACCTTCAATTTACTTTTTACAATTTCCTAATTAAATTCTTTAATAATCACCCACTCGCTACTTAATGTGCAAGACACGACTTTCAACAACGTGGAAGATCCAGCTTACAAATACCAAGACAAAATATCGGCCAGCCTAGTGGCTGCCCTCGTCGCCTCGCACAAGGAAAAAATCCGAGCCGAAGAGCGATGAGCGAGCAGGTCGCGGCCGCGGAGGCGCCTCCCGCAGCCCCTACACCCGCTGATGCTATCGAAAACGCAGAACAGACGGAGACAATGACGGTGAATGCGAAGGTGGCCGAGGAAGCTGCCACAACCCCCGTAGACGAGCACATAACGAACGATGAGCAGGCCGCTACGGCCCGTAAACGCCGTATGTCGAGTCCCCGCGTGTCTAAGCAGTCTAACGAGGCAGAGGGCGATGACACTGAGTCAGAACCCGAGAAACAGCCTAAGAAGCGAGCCAAAACCTCGAAAGGAGCCAAGAGAGGACTAAAGACTCCTGGTCGTAGGAAGAAGGCAGCTGCGTATCCGGAAGAAAACGCAGCGGACGAACAGAGGGGGGTGGAGAAGAAAGTAGCGGCTCTAAGTGACGATGTTAAAGGAAGGTTCGGCCAAATTGTCTGGGCTAAGATGGCCGGCTACCCTTTCTGGCCCTGTATTATCACGGACCCGCGCTTGCTACCCAAGAAGCTACAGGAGACAGCCATGAAGAATTTGGAGACGAAATATCTGGTGTTTTTCTACGTATCCAATAACTATGCCTCCATCTCCTTCAAGATGATTGAGCCGTGGGACGACACCAAGAACAAGTACCGTGAAGGGTACCCGGAGAAGGACTCGAAGGCCCCCAAGCGACGAGTCAGTCTCATGATGGCAATCGAAGTGGCAGATGTACGTGTGGGATGCGTGTGAGTCTGAAGCTGACGGAGGACTGAAGTGCTGTGTATTTGTGTGTTTTAAAACAGAAAGAGACCACGTTACCGATCGAGGAGAGAGCGGACGGACTCTTGAGGCCTATAGAGAGGATTGCAGCTGTGCAGTCAGCGGATAACGTGCCTACGACTGTGAAACGAAAGCCTGGCCGACCACCCAAGGTCAAGACAGCGCCCAAAGCAACGAAAACCCCAGAGAAGCGACAGATAAAGGAAGAAGTAGCAGACGGGAATGACGGGAAGGAATTGACGCCAGCAACCACACAAGAAGAGGAGGAGGAAGTGGTGCCGCCGTTGAGTAAAGAAGAGATTAAAGCCAAGGTTGCAAGTCGCAAGACGCCCAAGAAGAAAGGAGCGGACGACGTCGCTAATGTCGTTGGGGCTTCGGCCAAGAAGACATCTAAAGCTACAGCGAAGCACGGGAAGCTAAACGGCTCGGATATTGACAGCAAGCGCAAGAAGGAGATCGAACTGGTGGTGCCCCACAAGACCGTGAAGTCTGCGGATATCCGTGAGATGACGGAGGAAGCGGCCAAGAAGAAGTTAAATGGACCGAAGAGTAAGACCAAGAAGGACAAGGGAGACTACAAGGTGGGCGACTTGGCTTTGTTCGCGAGTAAGATGGCACGGCTGTACGCGAAGGAATCGTCGCGGAATAACGACGAGCTGGTTGGGATGATGCAGGAGCTGTTCAAGGAGACGCTCATGTATCGTTCTGATGTGGAGCGATCGGGACTGGCTGCAATTATTGCGCAACTCCGCAAAAAGAGCTCGAATCCTACGGTCGGGCGAACAGCGAGCGCGCTTCGAAAGCACATGATGAATATCCTGAACAATGACACAGAAATTACCCATCTAGGCAAGAAAAGTCATCAAGACGCTGCGACTTCTGGCACTAAAAAGCGGAAGGCTGAGAACGGGAGTGCAGTGAAGGAAGAACTGCCAAAGGTGTCGTCTCCAAAGAGCAGCGATGCAAAGGAAAGTGCTGCTGCGAAGGACAAATCCATCACTCCTCATGTGAGCGCATTGCCTGCTATGAAAGCAGAAGACTCACAACAGGACGCTGGAGTGAAGACAAAGGAGGAGAATAAATATGTGGAAGAAGCAGCAAAGGCAGCGGATGCACTAGTGAAAGCGGAGGAGCCTGCTGAGAGGGTGCTAACAGCCACGGAAGAGCGATCAGCGTCTATAGTGAAGACGGAGAAGGTTGAAAAAGATGCAGTCAAAGACACAGAGGATCTGCTCGAAGGGCCAGAGCATATGGACAAGAACCGAACGGTTTTTGTGAACATGTTGAGCCGAATTCTTGAGCAAGATGGATCACAACGGGCGGACCTGGCAACGGAAATTGAGGTACCTTAACCGACGTGTCGGTATTATTGGCTGGGCGAGCAGAAGCTGACTCGGTTGTGTTGCTCGATGTGTGTTTCACAGGCCGCACTGTTCGAACGCTTCAAGGAGAGTCACGATGATTACTTGACTCAAGCGCGTATCATCATGTTTGGCCTGAAGGACAACGTTTCCATGCGGAAGCGACTTTTTTCCGGTGCCTTGCATTGTTTGGAGTTCGCATATGCCGACGATGCGGTAAGCCAAGTCGTGTGGGGACGTGAAGCTGATCAAAGTTGACGAGGTTTGCTTATTGTCTACAGTTTTTCAAGACTACGGAGTGATTGGGCCTTTAGAAAGGCAGGAAGTGTAGGAAAACTTATTCATTGTTCGTCTTCTCTTCGAGTTGTTGGTCTCAAAGAGTTCGAACTTGTTTAGCTTGGTCTTTGCTGTTGTATCATGGTACAGAGGTTTACCTGCTTTTATTACGAAACCAAAATAAAGAGGCCGTAATCCTCTTTATCTGCATACACGAAGAGCTCCCCCCGATCTGATCTGATCATGGCTCGGGCGAACCTCCTGCTAAGCGCCGAGCTGGAGCGCGCGTTCGCCGATGCGCAGAGTGGCAAGCTTCGCTTTGTCAAGGTGTCCATAGAGGGCGAGTCATTCGTGCTGAGCGCAGCTGGTCCAGCATCGTCAGAGCCGCGCAATGATGTGGAGCAGCTCGTGACTTCCAACCTCAACGCAGAGCAGGCAGCGTTTGTGCTGCTTTGCCCCGATACAAACGTGGCTGCCTTGCGTTGGGTACTTCTTGCCTTCGTACCCGAGAGTGTGAGCGTTCGTGACCGCATGTTGTACTCGTCGTCCCGGGATTCGCTGAAGAAGCAACTTGGTCTTAATTATTTCTCAGGAGAGTTCCATGCCACAGAGCTGGTACGTGTTGCTAAGCTATTACGAGGAGAATTATAGAAAAATTGGCGCTGATGGTCTTGCATTTATGTGCAGAGTGAAGTGACATGGGCGAGTTTTTTGGAGGCGAGGAAGAAGCAGGCGGCGGACGCGCCTCTGTCCGAGTCGGAGAGACTGCTGAAAGAAGCGGCCTTGTTGGAACGCGACACGAACGTCAAGTCGAGTGCGATGGGCGTCGTACCCTTCGAGATCACGCAGAATGTGCGTGATAAGCTGAGGCTGCTGCAGGACAACAAGTTCGACTGGATCGCTATGGTATGATAGCCTTTAAATTTAGTGCTGGAAAAAAAGTGCTGATAATGTTTTTATTTGTAGAAATTGAGCGAGGATAATGAGAGTGTCGAAGTGGTGAAGAGTCTGGAGAACGTCCAGCTGATCGATGTGCCTACTACACTAGACCGTCGCTCTCCGAGCTTCGTGGCGTATCGTTACCGGGCAGGAGCCACGTCAGCTCTGAGTACGTCATGCTTTCTCTTTTATGTGGATGGCTAATAACGGGCTGTCGTCGTGTCATAGTTTTCATGTATGTGTGTCCGGAAGACTCGCCCGTGCGTCTGAAAATGGTCTACTCGACATGCAAGGCTACGGTTCTCTCTGTCGCCAACGAAGAACTTCACATCAAGTTTGACCACACGGTGCGCTCATGTAGCGGCCCTTCGGTTGCCCCCACCATGTTATAGCTGACGTGCTTCCTGCCTTTTAGATTGAGATCAATAATTCTTCCAGTGCGGTAGACGACATCCGCTCCGAGTTGGCTCCTAAGACCGAGGAAGAACTTAAGCCTCGTGAGTTCGCACGACCTGCTGCTCCTGGTCGTGGGCGTGGCCGAGGAAGAGGCCGCGGCCCTCCTGGCTCTAAGTAAAGCAATTCAACCTCAGTAGATGTGGCTAAAGTGGAGATCGACAAGACAAAATCGAAAGAGTGAATGGTCCTGTATTGATCCTACCACCTTTAAGACGGCCCCTCCCTTTAGCCCCTCAGCTCTAGTGCTGCGTTTATCTCCTGCCTTTCTTCTTGCCCTTCTTCTTGCCACCGCCAGACGCCGGTGCAGGGCCAGCTGCAGCCGCCGCTTTCTTCTTGGCCTCTTCGGCTTCCTTCTCGAGCCGCACCTTGCGAGACTGCAGCTTGGGGATAAGCTCCGCCATCTTGATCATAAGCGTCTTACGGTTCGGGATGTCCGCGTTCTCGGGCGTGCCGTCGTCACGCAGAAGACGCACACGGATGCGACCCGAGACAAGCCAGTCGCGCGGATACTTTTTAGCCGGCTCGAGCACGTGTGGCAGCTTGAAATATGTGCAGACTTCTGACATTTCGTCGGCTATTGGGGCCTCGCACGCGCTCAGCTTGGGGATACGACGACCTTGCTGCACTGTCTTTTTGTCATCGATGTAGTTGGGGTAGAACGTCATAAAGGTCGAAGTGGGGGTTCCCTCAGCCAGTCCATAAACGTAAATGATCTTGGGCCGCATGGGCTGCATAGGCGGCATCATACCTTTCATACCCGGCATACCAGGCATTCCTCCCATACCCGGCATTCCAGGCATCCCTCCCATACCCGGCATACCAGGCATTCCGCCCATGCCGGGCATACCTCCTCCCATACCTTGCATCATCTCCATCATCTGGGACATATCGGGCATGCCGCCTCCGCCACCGCCGCCTAACATTCCCATGAGGTCCGCCGGGTTAAACTGACCCGGGTGTGGCCGCGTGCGACTGGGCGTCGGCTGCGCCACCCGAACAGCATTCGAGTCGTACCGCTCGCCGGCAACGTTCTCTTTCGTTCGGCCCTTTCGCACCATGTTGTCCAGCTAGCTGACGTGTGAGGGTAATATTTCACCTGTGATACAAAATACCTATTCTTTAAGACAGGCTCGTGAAGATTTCCTTTCTACCGGTTTTTGACTGGTGAATTACCGGTGTTTATTGGAAGAATACCGGTCGAAGGATTAAACTTTCTAACTTTACTCTAAAACAATTGAGCAAAGTCCGTTTCGAAATGATAGTAACTCAAGACCCGCGTGCACCGCGTCCTTTGGTGCGTTTGACTAGCATCGATCGATCTGGATACGAGCCAGGATACGAGTCGCGCTGTTTTCAAGATGCCCCGCGTCTCCACACAATGTGCCCGTCTACTACTACTGCTGCTAGTTCTGGTGCTACTTGTTGTCGCCGTCAATGCCGAATTCTTTGTGCCAGAGGACGTTCCCGGTCCACCCGAGAAGATCTTAGTCTCTCCTGCGAGTGACACATCGATGCGTGTACAGTTCTACCCTCCGTTAAACGTCAAACCCGAGGGCGTCAATGGCGCCCCCGTGCTTGGGTACAAAGTGGAAGTGGCACGACGCGTGGACGAGGTGCAAACATTCTCCGTGGCAGCGAATGGGCCGATTCTATCGGGCGGGTATAAAGTTACGTTCAAGAACAGTCGAGGCACCGAGACGACGTCGTGTATCCCGTGGAATGCCAGTGAGGTGGCGCTGGAGATGGCACTGGAAGAACTGCCCAATGTGGACAGTGTCGGGGTCTCGAGATCGGCCTTTGGGGCTGCCAAGAACGGATTCGTCTACCGCGTCACATTCGACGGCGCGTATCTCGTTAGTGGCCGACAATCGGATTTATTGGTGGGGGATACAACAGGATGCCAAGCCGTGCAACCTCCGAACCGAGTGTTGTCCTTTGAGGGGGCTCACGTGACGTCAGGCGCTCCTGGATTTTATCCAGAAGTGTGGGAGATTGCGTCGACTGAAAGCTCGGGGGCGAAAGTGCTGGGAGGGACATTCGATTTGTCGATCGGCTTTGAAGGGCAATGGATAAACACGAATCCTGTAGTTACAGCGACTGTGGCTGCAGGATCGAGGACAGCGAAGACTGTAGGATCCATGTTGGGAGTTGTGAATCGAGGAGATCGAGTGCGAATTGGAGGAGAAGAGTTCACGGTTCACGCCACTGCTCCGTTTACAGACTCGGAATTACCGCTGGATTCGTATCACGTTCGTGGAGTTACAGTGGCTGCAGCGATTCAAGTGATGGATACGGCGCTGGGCAACGTCCAAGTCTCGAAGACGTCGAATTTGGTCACTACGTCCGTCAGTTTCAGCTCTAGAATTGCAGATGGAGAGCAGGTCCAGATCGACTCCAAGGTGTTTAAAGTGGCGAATGTTGCGCCCACTAGTTTCACTTTGGATTCGCTATGGACGGACGATACGACGCTGCATGTAACAGCGTTCGCGCGGAAGAAAGCGACGTTGAGTGTGAATGCGGAGGCAGCGGAGATGAAGCGAGCGCTAAGTGCCTTGCCCGGCGTCGGGGCCATTGACGTGTCGCGAATCGGTCCCACCAAGGCGAACGGATATCGCTGGTATGTTACGTTCCAGTCTCTCGACAGTGTGCGTCTTCGAGTCGACAAGAAGACGGGAACCACGGACTTTGTTGATGTGTACGGCGTCGCCTGTGTCACGTGTACAGTGACAGCTTCAGTCGTACAAGATGACACGCAGACGACGACTCTGGCGGAGATTAAGGGCGATTATTCCGCCAACGCAGTGGTGGCTTCAACCGAAGTTGGCGGAGTGGTGCAAGAAGTGCAGACGATCTCGACGAAGGCAAGTGCCGACAACATCAGTGGATATTTCACGGTCAGCTTTCAGTCCGTAGGTGGAGCAGTGATCAACTTTGACGACACTGCAGCTGATGTCCGGACCAAGCTTCAGAGTCTAGCTACTATTGGACGACTGAACGTGACAAGAAGTGAGAATTCTGACTTCGGAGCGACTTGGACGGTCACTTTTCTGTCGAATATGGGTGACTTGCCACTGCTTGTGGTTACTGCGAAAACGTTACTGAAAGGGACGGGAGTGAATGTTGTGGTGCAAGAAATAGTAAAAGGTGTGGATGTCGCGTTGGAAACAATTATTGACGGACTGGATCCAGGGCAGAACTACTACGTGCGTGCATTTGCTCGGAATGAGAATGGCTATGGAACGAGTACTACCGACTTGCAGCAGCGTGGACGAGGTGCATTACCGCTTCAAACAGCCGTATCGACGTCTCCTGACCCACCAGGTATCAATGGAATGTGGCCTTTATCCGGGTCACAACTGGAGCTTCGACTGTCTAACCCAGTGGATCATGGCGACTCTGTCTCAAAATATTTGTTCGAGTATGCAGTGGGCGAATCATTTGGAAAAGTTGCGACCAAGAAAGTTTTCGTCTATAATTCTATCGAGAACGACATCGCTGGCACCTTCCGCTTACAGTACGGAGACGACGTGACCTCCCTGCTGTCTGTACACACCACAGCTAGCTCTCTTCAAAGCGCTCTTAATAGTCTTTCTTCTGTCCGTCCTGTCTCAGTCTCTCGTGCGCTGTATGTGCTCACGGGAAGTCCTAGCGTGACCTTTACGTCGGCAAGTAATCGTCTTACAACGCCAACGTTGAGTGCATTTCAGTGCGCGATGCTTGTGAAGGGAGCAGGTATTGACGTTGGAGGGAAGCGCTTTATCGTTAGAGCGCAGCCGGTGGAAGGAAGCTCCAGTATTGACGTGGAGTTAGGACATGGTGCTCCAGACTTTACAGAGAATAAGGATCTACTCAAATTGGATAGTTCTGGAAGTGAACGTGGCCCGTATGGCTACATCTGGACGATCTCGTTCGACAATGACGCAGGGGATGTGGTGCACGGCAAATACCCAGGACTGCAGTTTATTTCTCAGCTCACTTCTATCGACACGAGTCTAGCGATACCAGTTAGCTCATACGGCGTTGAGCTCGGTAAAACTGGTATTCCAGCCGATCATTACGGCTTCTTTGAGATCAATAATGACGACAAAGTGTGTGACACGTACGTCGTGGGAGCTCCTTCGTCCGTTCAAGTGGTTCGCCTGTTTGCTCCGACGACAGCTACGGATGGTTCGTTCAAACTCAAGCTGGGGAGCGAGACGACAGCGGATTGTATCACGTTGGGTAAATCTGGAACATTGAGTAGTTTGAAAGCGAATTTGGAAGCTCTAGATCTGGTTTCGAAAGTGACGGTGGACGAAGTGCGTGCATTCAAAGTCACAACAACAGCGACAGTCACAGACTATGATAATACCGGGAAACTGACTGTGGCGAGCGCTTTCACTAGTGCCCAAGTGGGTGTGTTACTACAAGACAGCATCATCCAAGTGAGTCGGAACCCCAACGATTTCTCCAGACATTCGTGTGAATTTGTCGTCGATGCTCCGCCTACCGCTGGACTCACGAAGATTTCTGTCACTCCACGAGGATCCTGCGATTTTTTTACTGGCGAAGCTCGAGTGTTGACGATTTTGGACTTTCACGACTACCACGTGCGTTTCTGGGGCTATTATCCGACAGGCGAGTGGCCGACGTTACAGTTCGATTACAGTGAGTTCGGGAAGGGAACGTGTACGCTATGGGCACCTCCGAACTTGCAGGTCTACGGACAGATTCACACCGTAAAGTACGAAGGTGTGTGCTCTAAAGGGCAAGCTGGAGTGCAGACAATTCTCGCAGATGCGTCGAGTACGATCGGGGGCACCTTCACGCTGTCCTATATGGGAGAAGTGACGTCGCCTCTGTCGTTTAAAGACACCGGGGCAGGAGAGATGCGAGATGCAATCGACTCCATCACTGCACCTGGAACTGTTAACGTCAGTGTGAGTCAGTACGGAGCTTACGGAAAGGCATGGCACGTTACGTTCTCAAAGCACCAAGACGACGAGGACGACGCCATTTTCATCCAACACTCGCGTCTTACAGGCCAAAACGCTCTGATTAGCGTCTACCCCACCGTTACGGTGTTCACAGATGCCAAGCGAGATGACATCAGCGGCTCATTCCGGATCGCAATTAGTGGAGAAACTACAGAGCCGATCGGATTCTCTGCCACGCACATGAAAGTTACACAGGAACTACAGAAACTTAGCGTCGTGGATTCAGTGGTGGCGCTAGGAGACAAGAGTACAGGTGATGTTGGCGTATACGCGTTAGAGCTGACTGCCGATGCGACTGCCGGTAGCAGTCTCTTGACCAATATCAAGCTTGGTGGTGCGTTGATTGACCCGACCCGTTTCCTGGCGATTGGAGAAACGCTGGTGCTAGGCTCGCCTTCCGCCTCTTACACGGTTAAGGCGATGACCCCGTTCGATATCACACTATCTACCGTGTTTCCCGTCTCAGCGACTTCAGCCAACTATGACGTTTTGGCTGGATTGATCACCAAACAGACCAAACCTTTACCTGGTTATGTGGGCATTTCAGCCCTAATACAAGTGGTGGCAGTAACAAAAGGAAGCAACGAGTTCCAGATGCCAGCAGACCACGAATTTAGCTCCACCACTAACAATGTGTTTTTCGTTGGTAACACCAAATTCACAGTAACAGGTGTGACTGGTGCAAAAGTTACGACTAACGTACCGTATCCGGGTGACACTATTGCTGCTGCAAGTCCGAAGGTTTACGTCTTTGATAATAGACTCCAAACGACAGAGGATTTGAGAAAACTCGTCAAAGTTGGAGACGATCTGTGGCTTCCCTCAGTATCCGCTGATATGAACAAGTACACGGTTACTGCCGTCAATAAGAGATACCTTGAGGTCAGTGGTGGGTTTACGGAGAGCATCACGAGAACGCTCGCGTACCATGTTTCCAATGGACGGAAGTGGAATTTAGTGTTCCGCTCGTACGATGGAAGTCTCGACACTATCGACGCTATCCCAGAGCATGATTGGCGAGGAACCAACGCTCGGATCGGTACGAGGAGTCCTAAAGCAGTGTCCCCCAACGTGATTAACGTCGGGAATCCTGCATCCTTACAGACGATTCATCTGGAAGTCCATGATGTCTCAATAGCGACGCCGTACACGCTGAGCTTTGCAGGCGAAACGATCGTGGATACTGGTACGACAAACCCAAAGAATATCCCGTGGACGACTATCAACGATGAAATGAAGAAAGCGCTTGAAAGCCTCGATAGTGTGGATGGAGTAAGAGTTACGTCAGTGTTACGGGGTGGCACTGTAATCCACACCGTATCGTTTTGGGGGACGTATCCGACGAAGAAGCTGCCGCTACTTGTCGTCACTCCGGCCACAGCCAATCTAAACGCGTATGTTCAAGGCAATAACGCCGTCGCAGTGACCAAGCAAGACAATCTGATTTTAGAAAGCAGTCAAGCTTACGCGTTCCGTATCTTCGCTCTGAACTCCAGAGGAATCAGCGACTCGGTATCGGTGTTCGAGGCGCAGACATCAGCTAGCTCCGTGGTCCCCTCTCCACCCACAGGTGTAGCTCTGGGTGAATTCCACGGCCCCACGTGGCTGTCGATCAACTACTGGGCTCCAATGTATTCCGGAGGTGCGAGAGTGACAATGTACCGGATCGAGTGGGATTCCTCTCCGAATTTTAACAGCTCTAGTATCGACTATGGGGTGGCCAGTATCCAAGAGAAAATCGAGGTGCAACAAGTGAGCACGAGCTATCGCAGCGCTATCGGTGCAGGAGGGACCTTCACTTTATCTTGGGGAGGGCACACGACTTCTGCGTTGCCGTTTGACTGCAGTGTTGCAGACATGACAGACGCTCTGGCTGGTGTCACAGATACGATGAACGTTGCTGTCGACCCGGTTAAAGTCACGCGAGCTCGAGTATCGTGGGGGTACGCCTGGAAGATAACCTTCCTACATAACCCTGGTGACTTAGCGCTTCTCGTCGCGGATGGAACTCAATTAACGGGTGATTTCCCTCAAATACGGGTTGTTGAGGTGGTCCAAGGGTCCCGAGACCTCGCTATTGGTGACTTTACGCACGAAATCCAGGAGGTTTACACCGACGGCGTATCGCCTGTGTCTGGCTCGTTTACACTAACATTTAATGGTAAAACCACGACGTCAATCGACGTTGCAGCATCGGCGCTAGAGGTGCAAGCTGCGTTACAAGCGACAACCTTAACATACTCGATTAAAACGTCAAAAGCGGTACGGAATGCTGCTGTAAACACTGCGGTGTGGACTGTTACGTTCGCGTATCTTCGAGGCGAGGAGATGGTTGGAGCTGGCAATATATTCACGATGACAGTGGCAGATTCCCAGCTGTCTGGCACTAGTGCTGTGGTCCAAGTTGCCAATAAAGTGATAGGGTCCGATCCGTTCCGGTTCTCTCTAACTGGTCTTCGTCCAGGCGTACGGTACTACGCCCACTTGATGGCGTACAATGCCGATGGCTTCGGGTCTGCCACGTCGCCACTCGCTAGCGCTGTAACCTGCTGGCAACCGCAGCCTCCACAGTCTGTAGTAGCCAGTGTTGTTGATGGCACAACTCTAGCAGTGAGCTGGAGTGCAGTGGAAGGATCGTGCAGTGTGGACAAGTACAAAGTCGAGTGGTATCGAGACGAAGGAACACTGGAGCAGCAGACTATCACGACGTCGGCGGGCAAAGGTCTACCGGAGATTCAAAATTTAGTGAATTTTGCGGATTCCCGAACTCTCACTGGATTTTTCAAGTTATCTTTCGGTGGAGAGACGACGGAGAACCTCCGATGGGATGCAGAAGCCACTGGTTTGAACTCGGTTAAGGAACGATTAGAGCGTCTGTCGAGCATAGGGACAGTTGATGTCTCAAGAGAGGAGTCGACGCGGGTTACGGGGCTGTTTGTGACTGTAACGGGGAAGACAGTCATGCGTCATACTACATTGTCGACTTCTGCGATAGCTGATACCAGGCTGGCAAAGGACGACGTTATCTGGATTGCAGGCAACAAGCGTACAATTACTGCTGCACCCACAACGACGACCCTAACAATTGATACAGATCTCGAAGTTACAGTCCCCGTTCCCGTATTTAAGAGTGCGTATGGCTACGCGTGGAAGATCACCTTCTTAGCCGGTCATGTGGGTCCACAAGAACTCGTTCAGGTGTTCCCGAGTGACAGTTGGACGGGTAACAATCCTGGTATCGTTGCTAACTCGGTTCAGAAAGGTCGTCAGCCGATTAGTGGGACGTTTAGAGTCGCATTTGTGAGTGGAGGACTGTCGGATTCTACTCCTCCTTTGCCTCACAACATTTCATCAGTGAATATGCAGACTGCACTAGAAAGTTTGGTTACGATTGGAGCTGTAAACATAACCAGATCTGCGAACGGGTACGGGTACAACTGGGTAATTACGTTTTTGTCGGAGTTAAAAAACGATATTTCGCTGTTAAGTGTCGATGGAACGGAACTCCAAGGCCCCGGTGCACGCGTCCTATCTGCACGGACATTTGCTGGCATCCAGCCGACGTTTTACTGTGAACGGGACGGAACAGCAGGCCTTCCTGCCGAGATTGGAGTGCCAGGACAGCTACGTTATGTTATCCATGGGCTAACAACAGGTACGAAATACGCCATCCGTGTGCGTGCACATAACAGCGAAGGGTACGGATACGCAGCGAGTATTGTCTCTGGGTTTCAGATTCCGAGAACAACACCGTCTGCACCTCAAAATGTGGAATTGTTGATACTATCCAGTAAATATCTTAAGCTTAGGTGGAGTGCTCCGAAAAGCGATGGAGGTACTGCCGTTCTGGGTTACCGACTTCAATGGGATACGGCGAGTACCTTTCCGAATGTAAATAGTCCCAATTATGACTTCCAAGCAGTGCTGGAAGTGGACTCTAAGGACACGGGGCCATTCTTCTACAACATCTTTGCGCCAGTAGTTACGACTTATTACGTTCGTGTCCTCGCCTTGAATGACCAAGGTGATGGTCCATACGCAGTCCCGGTTCCAAAATATGCACGACCCACTGATCGTACACCTGGACGACCAGAAGATGCGACGGCGACAGTTCTGTCCAGCTACGCGATCCTGGTGGAATGGAACGCTTCTTCCATTGACAAGTTCTATTACGGAGGTGACGGCGGGCTGTCAATCACGCAGTATATGATCGAGTGGGATCTCTCTCCAGCATTTGACTCCCCCGCTGCGTTTGGACTGGTAGATGGCACTAAACGGTCCTTTATCATCGGCGGAGACGACGCTATCACCGGCGTTCGGTCCGATATTTTGATCGCCGGTTCGTCTTACAGCATTCGAGTTACGGCGTTCAACGCCAAAGGCTCAGGAGCTCCTCGACCCACAGTTCCGTCCTCTGTCGTTGTGACGAACCAACCGCCTAGTGCACCGCAGAATCTAACGCTGAGTGTTGCGTCCGCGACGTCTGTTAAAGCCACATGGACGAATCCGCTGTTCGATGGCGGGTCGAGCTTGAAATCGTACCAGATTGAGTGGGATGAACAGGAGGATTTTAGCAGTGGACAGACGTCCAGTGCGACGATCCCTATCGTTCGGGAGATGCAGAGTGCGATTCTACAGAGCGAAGTGGTGAATGAAGAGCAATTCGTGGATGTGACGGTTGAAGTCGTGAACGAACAGCAACAAGTTCGCAGCACGTTTACGGGATTGGATGAGATTCAAGTGATTAAAACGACGAATGCTATTGTCAAAGATGAAGTCCAGAAAGTGGTGACGTCTGCAGCGGATGGGAACGAAATCCAGGAACTGCGCTTAGATGACGACGATATTGATGAGATTCAGGCGATTCGGACGACTGTAGCGGAAGGATCTGAAGTTCACGACGTCAAGATTGGTGTTGAACGGGCTGATCTTGAGGTGCAGAGTATAACTCTGGTTTTTACAGGCGGCGTCGGGAATTTGGGGTCAATTGGAGGCACCTTTTACCTCACGTTCGACAGCTCTACGTGTACTTACTGTCTGGCGACGAAAAAGCACAGTGTGGACACCGTCGATCTTTTAGTTTCATCTCTGCGGGAAGCTGATGATCCTACGGCCCAAGCTGCTGTAAAAACGGAATTAGAGAGACTGGACAATATCGACACGGTGGATGTGAGTCGAACCAGCATCAAGTCTGGCGCTGGCGTAGCAGGGGACGACCTCACCTACGTGTACTTGATCACCTTTACCGGTAACGATGTCGGTGGCGATGTGCCTATGCTCATGGTTGGTGGCACTCTGACCTTTAATGGCAACACTGTAACTCCAATCTTGTACGAAGAAACCCAAGGAAACGAGCCTAGCTACGACACGATTGCCAACTCGGTCGTCGCCCTCACTTACACGTGCGAATCCTACTCCGATCCGAGCGCAGATTCGACGTTCAGTAACGAGTGTACCCCATCCGTCAAGCTGTGTGATTCTTGCGTTACAGATTTCGATGGCTCTAAGTTTACAGTATCCGCCGACGTAAGTGGTGCAGTCTCTAAAGGGACCAATTTAATCGCCGGGGTTTGCTCTTTTGAAGTAGATTCGAGGACAGTTACGTCGGGACAGACGACAGTTCTGATAGATTCCGATGACCCTGGCGTCCTATGTAGTAGATTTTCTGGCGCGTCGCTATCTCTATTCGAGGCCCCGCAGATAAAAGTCTCTAACATTCCAGTGAAGTCCTCAGCAGCTGTGGCTGTCGATGCTAGCGACGTTCAAACTGCACTCAATGTTCCTGGTCTCATTGGTGCGATGACAGTCGAACGCAACTTTCTCGTTACCTCAAATTTTGTCGGGGCGGTTTATTCCGTAACATTCAAGACACGAACGGGTAAAATCCCATTATTGGAGTGCGATAAGGCGGGAATTGTCCCGATCCAAGCTGGGACGGATGTGGAGTGTTCAGTGACCCGAAAAAGTGTTGGAAGCATGTTGACAGGGACGTTTAGAATTGGGTTAATTAGTCAGGAGGATACTGACCCGACGGATGCGAACGCTGCGTATATCCCCACTGCGTACACGTCGGATATTCCGTGGGATGCCACGAAGGCTGTGATGAAAGACGCGCTGGAAAAGGTGGATACTCTAACCGGAAAGCTGATTTTTGGGGACGTGAAAGTGGAGAGAACAGTGTACTCGACCATCGCGGATAAATGGTCTGGTGGCTTTTCGTGGCAGATAACGTTTCTGACTCGAGGGTGGGATATTCCAACGATCACAGTGGATAAAACGGGGCTTTCGACTTCAAGAAGTAACAACCCGGCAGCTCAAGTGGTTGTGGGATATTCAGGCCATCCACTCTTAAACCCGAGTGTGCTATGCAGAGATGGCAACCAAATAGGTGGCGAAATGACCTTCACCTTTGGCTCAGCAGTGGCGAAAACGTGCAAAATCGGGGTGGATACTTCTTTAGATACGCTGGATAAAAGCGTGACAGATACCAAGCTCCAGGATTTCTTCACGAACAGTCTCAACGTCCCAACAAGCAGCATCAAACGTTCGGCAGCCTCACAAGCTCGAGGATTCACCTGGACGATAACTTTTATCGACGACAGTACGCCAGGCGACGTGCCAGATCTGTATCTAACGACTCAGCTTACGTCCACCACAGGCAGCAATAACGGTCGCACGAATGTCGTCGAAACTCTGAAAGGCAACGAGCTTACGGGAGCTTTCCAGCTGATCTTTAATGGCGAAACAACGGGCCCGATTATGGCAGGAGCGGACGAATTGGCCGTGCAAGCTCACCTCAACAGTCTACGCTCCATTAAACCGAGTAGTGTTCTCGTCAAACGGACATTAACCAGTCCGCAGGTGAAAGGTTATACCTGGTTAGTAACCTTCCGTTCGTCTGTGTGGGCGGATCCGACTAGCGATCACTCTGCGGGTGTTGACGGCAACTGGAAGGGAGCTGCAGCGGCGTGGGATGACGTGTGGGAATCTGGATACTCGAAAGCGTGGGGACGACAAGTGGGTCATACGTTCACGCTAGGGTGCGATAAGAGCAGTCTAGTAACCACCACGAACGACAAGACCCAGACGTGCGATACACAGGTGGTTAGCGCAGGCGTAGGTCCGCTTGGAGGAACGTTCAAAGTCGAGTTAGACTCGAGTCACTCGCCTCATATGGCGATTCAATCCTCGGAAACGAGTGACCCCATTGCCCATAACGCGTTTGCAACCAAAGAGGAGAGTGGAAATTCGGGAACGTCAGTGGAAGAAATCCTCGAAAAAATGGCAAATGTTGGCGATGTTGAGGTTTCGAGAAGTGTGGTGGATCGAGATACGGGAGGGTACGAGTGGACTGTAACTTTTCTGAGAGACGCCAGTAGCCCCTCGAAACCCTGTGAACAACTGGAAACTCTAACTGACGGAACGAAAAGCTGTAATTCCCCTGGTGATATCCCGCAAATGACTACAGTCGAAATGGATTTGAAAGGGTCCAGCAACCATGCTACTGTAACAACACTCCAACATGGAGCGATGTTACGAGGCGATTTTACAGACTTTAAAGTACAGGGCGACGCAGGTGTCGACAAACGGTACACTGTAACTGTAAGCTGTGCGAATGCAGCAGCGTCGAATCTGCCGTGCACCGTAACTTCATTCACAATTGCGTCTGGAGCGAGTACGATACGAACGAGTCTATTGGCGAAAGACCGGTTTATTGTGGATGGAATCACGAGCTGTGTGTTTACGGTCGTGGATTTCGATGCGGCTACAACTCCAACAAAGATCAACGTCAAGTCGTTGGATTGCGGTGCTCTAAACGCTGGGAATACCGTAACGCCGTTAGGTTTATCCATCCTAATTCCGTGGAATGGAGACGAAAGCTTGGTTAAACGTGTGCTCGAAGCAGCTGCTACTACCACCGGACGCAAGGTTAGCGTTGAAAAGACTGTCCACGGTAAATACGGTGAGATGTCGTGGCTTGTGCAGTTCATCTCGAACCCTTCGTATACGCCACTGGGCGCTGGTAATTTACCGACAATTGCGGCTACTTTCGAGTCCGAGACGGCATTGAACTCAAACCCGATCAACGTGGAAGAGATCACGTCCGGGTCGGAAGGACTGAGTGGCTCGTTCTTTATAGACTTTCACTCTTCGTTTGGAGCTCGAGAGATGGCGTTCAATGAGGACGCGGTTCGATTGGAGAGAAAGCTCAACGAAATGGACACTATTGGTCGAGTATCGGTCGAGCGGCTCGAGTATCCTTCCGCCGCGACAGGCTGCGCAGATTCCTTGTGTTCTGGGGGCTGGGAAGACCGACCGGTTCTCAATCCTGGCACTAGAGGCGGATACCGTTGGAGAATTCGATTTTTACGCGTAACCGGAGAGTACGAAGGCGTGACTTTCCCACCTGGTAGCGGTAACTTGGATGAGTTCACTGTGGAGTATTCAACGTCTCTCAATGGCAACGACCGGGCTGTCCTCGTGTACACGGATACAGCTGGTTCGGCTCCGATCCTAGGGAGCTTTCAACTCAGTACTGCGAGCGCTCAAACGCCTTCACTACTGTACTCGTCGTCAGCGGAAGCGGTGAAACAAGGGATAGAAGCCATGGATTTATTCGGAGAAGTGGATGTCACGCAAGGATTTTTACTTACTCAGAAGATTCCAGGCATTACCGCAAAGGTTTCTCGAGATGCACTTACAGCTACTGTAACTGGCGTGAAGGATATACGTCAGCTCATCTCTCCGACGGATGTTATCCGCTTCGGGTCTTCAGTAGATAATCTGGTTGGCTCCGATGGGGACACACCGTTCACTGCGTCCAAACCGACTTCGCTGGTGACTGTGGGCGCGTTATCCCCAATTGTGATAGCGTCAGACCCCGCCAGTACGAAGGTACTCTATCCCGGAATGCAGCTCCGTATCGATGGATTACAGTATGAAGTTCAGCGATCAGGACACGAAATCCAGACGATTACGGTGTCAATCCCTAAAGCTGCCAGTCAAAGTGTGGATTATTACGCGCTTACGCTAGCTAGAGCAGGGATTATCTACGGCCCAACGACGTGCTTTCCAGTAAGCGCAACTGCTGACAGCTTACAGACATCGCTACTGCAACTGATTCGAGGAATTAAAGCACAGGCACCAGCGGATTCCGTGCTGGTGTCTCGTTCTGCTCCTGTCGTTACAGCAACTACGACGGGATACGTGTATTCGGTCTACTTTTTCGGAGATGCGGTGGCCGGGGATGTCGCTAAGCTGAAGAAAACATCGACGGGGTCTACGGGAGTCTGTACCGGTATCACAGGTGCTACTGCTGCCGTTAGCGTAATGACTCAAGGAGGTAATCTGCCACATCAGCGGTTGTCTCTCGCGACAGACTCGGGCCAAGTCATCGACACGAGCGGGTACTACAAGATGTCCTTTAACGGGAAAGATACCGATTGCATTTTATGGGGCGCGACTGCGAGTGAGCTACAAGACGCACTTGAGGACAAGTTGGATACCGGTAAAATTATCGTAACAAGACGTGGAGGAGGCATCTCCCAGACCGAGATCCAGCGTCTTCGTATGACTGCAGATGCTGAGGTGACATCGGACAACACGGGGCTGTTCCAGCTACAACTCACGTATGCCGGGGAGACTGCCGCTACACACTGTATCAGTTACGGTGTGTCTGCTGTAAATTTACAGAAAGAGCTCAATGGGTTGAGCAATCTGGGTCTCATCGTGGATCATATCAACGTTACACGTGAAGGTGATGGCTCATCCACTTGGGGCTTTGGTTACGAATATCTGATCCATTTCCGAGGCCCCGTAATTGGGGGATACAGTCCCGTAATCGGCGATGTCCCGTTACTGGAGATTGCCAATGTAGGCCAGGGTTTATGCTCCTCAACCGCTGTTGGTGGGCATCCAGCGTTGATCATTGAGACGGTACGAGAAGGATCGCCTGGATATATCTACGACATCTTCTTCATGGATTACACAGAGAGCGCAACGGTACCAACGATCTGGTTACAGCACGAAGCTCAAGGCTCTGCGTGTAAAACTGGCTGGATCCAGAATGGCGGGAGCGTTCGTCGAGCGTATTTAAAGACGATGGATTCTGGTGGCAGTAGCGAGATTCAAGTGCTGACGATCCCTAACAAGAATGCTGCGGGTACATTCCTCTTGACGTTCGAGGGACAAACAACATCTTGTCTCGCCTTCAGTGCTAGTGCTTCGGCCTTGAAAGATGCGTTGAATCTACTGACAACAATCGACGGAGGAGTCCTGGTATCCAGAGATACAGACGTGAGGGTGGTGCCGAAAGGATTTATCCATAAGATCACTTTTGTTGGAGATCTCGTGACGGGGAATGTGCCTTTGTTGAGTGTACAGGAAGCCACCACTGCGTGTCAAAGTCCGCAGTCAACGACGAAAGCTATGGTTACGGTGGATACCGAGGGAGGACAGAACTCGGGGGAGTTCGCTCTAACCAGTTACTATAACGGAGAAGCGTCCGAAGTCCCACACGTCGCGTACAGTGTCTCGCAGCAGTTTAGCGTCATGAGCGAGCAGTTCGAAGTGCAGCAAGTGGAAATCATCAACTTAGGTAACAGTATCGCACTCGGTGCGACGTATAAACTCACGTTCAAGAGTCAAACGACTGCAGCAATTCCGTGGGACGCGTCTGAAAGTGCATTAGAGAAAGCGCTAACTGAAGCGGGTGCTGGTGCTGGAGATGTTACAGTGACTCGACGATCGGATTCCTCGAACGGGTTCGTCTACACTATTTACTTCATCGGCTCATCCGTAACGGGAGATTTAGATCCGCTAGTATCGGGAAGTCTTTCAAGCTTCGGGACTGGGAAAGTAGTCGTGTCTACAATCCGGGACGGCACGGATGGAGTGTCGGCGTTTACCTCCGATACTTTACCGTTGGCTAAAGTGAAGAATCCGGAGATTGCGTCGCCGTATCTGGGCAGCGCTGCAAGTCTCGACGTCTTTAAAGTGAACGGTTTACTGTGGCCTATCAAGTTTAAGTCGTCACTTGGAAATATCCCGAAACTCGGCAAGCAGACGAAGGCTCTAGCTGCGGGAACTCTATCGATTATCGACGACTTCATCCCGGGATCCGCGTCCAATTCCTATGTGCTCCCGAACCTTCTGGCTGGAATAAACTACTACGTCCACGTGGCAGCGATGACAGATATCGGTACGGGACTCTTTTCAGCCACTGGCTCCATCATACCGAGCGGTACTGCGTCAGCAGTGCAGAATATCCGCGCTGGGTACGCCGTTTACGAGCGCGAAATTCAGGAGATACGCCTGGCGGCATCTCACGTATCCGAGGTACAAGAGATCACCACGGAAGCTGCTAGCATCGCAGAGGTTCAAACACTACGAACGTACGCTTCGTCGTGTCCTTCTGGCTCGTGTGTCAAAGGAGCTTTCGCCTTCCGCGTCCCAACGGTACAAACTATCACCATTTCGGCTCAAGCTCCTATTGGCTCAGGCACTTTTACGCTGCTATTCACTCGAGAAGTCAAAGATCCATCGAATTTGGGCTCCTTCGAGACGATTGGAGCAAAGACTGGTGCGATCTCGTGGAATGCAGACGCTAGTACCGTAAAGAGCGAGTTGGTTACAGTAGTCAATGGAGCTCTAACCACGAACGATGTCGTGGTTACACGCGATGGAGACGCCTCGGAGCAATTCGGCTATGGTTACGTGTACCAGGTTACGTTTATCGGCAACGACGTCGCCGGAGAAACCAGAAAAATCGACTGTGCAGATAAAATTTTTGTGACGACAGGAAATGTGCCTTCAAGCTGCGACGTAACAATGGATTTGGATGTTGCGATGGGGACGGATACAGCAGTACAGCAAGTGATCGTGACGGCCAAGAAGCCATTAGTCGCGGGGTCTTACAGTCTTCGCTTCTTTCACCTCGGAGCGAGGAAGGACTCGACGTGTATCCCGTTTGATGCACCCGCGAGTATCGTGGATATTACGCTGGAAGCGATGGATAATATCGACAAGGTGTATGTAACTCGAGAGCGGGATAGCACACTGGCGCCGAATGGATTTATCTACCGGATTTTCTTCCACGGCAACGGCGTGTATGGAGATGTGGGTAAACTCGACTTTGCCATGTGTACAGACTTCCAAACCCAAGAGAGAAATGCTCTTACGACCGTCGGAGTCGATGGGAAAGTACTCATTTCGATGGTGGATTATGGCGGATTTAACGCGTTCAACACATTTGTGAGTGCTGCATCCGCTACAGCAGCTCAACTCACGACTGATCTAGCGCAGTTACCGGTTTTTGGAGACGTCTTGGTGTCTCAATCGCTTGTAGACGAGCAAGGTGGCTACATTTGGACAGTGGCATTCCGAGATTCCGAAGGGAATCTACCGCAATTCATCTGCGCGGTGGATTCTACATTTAAAACTGCAGCAGGCGCAGGCTGCGAGACAGATACGCTGACTGATGGCAACGTTTTAAGTGGCAGTTTCCTCATTGAAGCGAGCGCTCCGATCCCGTTTGATGCCGACGCTGGGACGATGAAAACGGCGCTACAAGCCATGGCGTGGGTGGGTACAGTGCAGGTCAAGCAGTCGGCTGCGTCTCCGCAACGAGGGTACACGTGGACGATCACGTTCCTGGATTATCGAGGCGACGTCCCCACTTTGCTAGTCACAAGTTCGTTAGTGGGGACCGGCAGTCAGATTTCTGTACGGGAAGCTCGCAAGGGTAACGCTCTGGGCGAGACATTTTCTGTATCGTACCTGAACTCGGAGACTGCAGCAATTGACTGGGACGCAGTCGCCAAGACGGCGGCGAAACCGGATGGCTCCTCGATGCAGGAGAAACTCCAAGCTCTGGATGTTGTTGGCCAAGTGAATGTCGAGCGTTCAGGTCCAGATTCGGAAGGAGGATACACGTGGATGGTGACGTTCTTGGATAATATCCTAAACTCTGGAGATGTGCCGCTGTTACGAGGGAATGCGAGTGCTTTAACCGGGGAAGGAGCTGTTGTGTTTACGAAGGAGGTCACGAAAGGTTCGAATGCGGTTGGAGATCAGCTGTGGCTGTCGTTCGACCCGCCAGCGACAGATAATGGCAGTCCTATCACTAAGTATCAGGTGCGATGGGATACGTCCGACAAGTTTACAGCGAATCCGGCGGATGTTTTCATCTCGGACGCCGAGATTTTGTACAGGACGCAGCGGATAACCACGAGCGCTGCCAGTCTCGCTTGGTCCAATCACATGATCCGACCGGTGGATGAAGTGCAGAAGCTCAAAATTCTCACGGTGGGGACGTTCGAGTTGTCATTCCGCGGTGAAACTACTGCGACGTTGACGGCAGTGGCGGCAGGAACAACAGCAGGCACTACGACGGTCGCTGGTTTGGAGACGGCACTGGAAACGCTCTCTAGTGTCGGCTCAGTCGATGTGTCTTCCGCCAAGACTGTGCTGGAAGTGGGGGCGGAAGTCCTGATCACGTTCACAGCACAGCCAGGCGACCTCCCGCTACTGAAGCCGAGCAGCAGCAAGGCTTCGGTTGATGAGATTCAGACTGGGAAGACGAATTTCCGGAAAGAAGTGGTCGTCTTCTCCTGTACCGCGACAGCAGGTACAGTACGATTCTCGTATAATGGGGAACACGCGGACGTAGGCTACAACGCGGCGCTAACTGCAGTCGAGACGAGTCTGCTGAATCTATTCGGCGTCGAAGCGGAGAGTATCAGTGTGTCGAGTGCAACGCAGTTGGTGTTGTGTAAGAATCCGACTCCAGACGATGTCAAGATTGTGTTCGATCGGGTGTATGGAGACATCACTCTATCTATCGACAAGGGGGTTGACGCTGGAGCTAATGCTCAAATTGTGTTTAATACGGAAGCCTCTATCGACGGCGTGTACAACGACGACCCCGCTCTAACCATGAGCGGAACTTTCCAGGTGGGCTACCAAGGTCTGTACACGCGTCCTCTCAACGCCGAGTCTAGTGCGGATCAACTCCGTTACGCACTGGAAGACCTCGACTCTATCCGAACTGCAAGTGTCAATAGGGAACTATCCTACCAACCTCTACCAGGTAAAGTCGACGTGACCGAAGGGGAGATTTTCGTGACGTGTAGTGCTGGTGAGACTTGCAGCTTTTACTCGGCTGCCTATGGACTTCCCGGGTACAAGATTCGAATTGGTGGAGACTGGTACACTGTTCGTGCAGACTTGAGTTCTCCAGGGTTACACAAGACGCGGTTGTATCTTGGCGACTTAAATGGAAGAGAGATTGGGTATCTTGGATCAACGGATACTGCTGTTTCAGTGGACGAGTGGACGAAGGGATACGTGTGGACTGTGGATATGCTAAGTGTGGCTTCATTGGGTTATATACGAGCGAAGGTGCCGAGACTGCACCCTACCGACTCTACAGTGCGAATATCCGGTAGTGGCTGTGACAAATGCTACTATCTTCCCACCCAAACATCCAAGAAGCTCATCGTCGGGCAGCAATACTTTATCCAAGTGTATGCGTACAATTTTAATGGTAAAGGCAGCACGCCTGTGTCTGCCATTGCTACACCAAGAAAAGTGCCCGACGCACCTTCAAACGTGGATCTCGTGGTCGTGTCTGGCAAAGAAATCGAAGTCTTCTTCTCTCCTCCGAAATTAGGAGAGAACACGAGTCCAGACTTCAACAAGGACATCTCGTCTTACATTGTCCAATGGGACGTTGATCTAGCCTTTAAGCACGGGCTCCCAGTCTGTGCTGGATGTGCCAGAGCGTTGACTGGGATCTTCCTAACTGTCACGACGCCACTCGCGGATTTTTTACCGGAAAAGTCCAAATTTACGGTCAAAGAACTGGGCTGTACCATGGAAGTCGTGAGGGTTGTGAGCGCCACAGTGGTGCAAGTTGTTGGCGGACATAGCTGCGAGAACTTTAACACGCGCTCGTACTCCCTAACGCACTATACTTATCCCCCAGCAACCGTATCTGGAGCTCTAATTCGAGGGTCTCCGCCGTATCGGTATTTGATCTATAACCTCATCATCGGCACGAAATACTCTGTGCGAGTCGCAGCTGTGAACTCGGTTCCTGTCCAACAAATTGCGCTAAATGGAGAGCCTCCTGACAATCGGCAATGGAGTTCACCTCTGTCGGTAACGACAAAAGATAGAGCACCCGACGCACCCTTATCGGTCGCACTGTATCCGTATTCCGGAACTATACTCCAGTTACAGATTCAGCCCTCAACACGCGATGGTAAAGGGACTGGAGGCTTAGCGATTACAGCCTTTTGGATCGACATTGACACCGTTTCCATGTTTGACTCGGTTACGAAGAGTAACCCCATCGAGGCTCTAAACACGACTGTGTCGCTCCCAGAGCTCTATTCTGGCGGACCCCGTATTTATTACCTAACGGGGCTTACGACGGGGACACGCTATTTCGTTCAGGTTAAGGCCCGGAACTCTATCGGCTACAGTCGAGCCACCCTCACGCCGGCTCCTGTGGCCCCCACTCGTCATTCCGATGGACCGATTAACGTCAAGGTCTCTACTCTAATTGCATCTTCGACTCCGATCGACTCGGCGACTGTAACGTGGCAGAAACCAGTTTTTAACGGCGGAATTGGGCTCACAAGTTACAAAATCGAGTGGTGGCGTGCTCAGCCGCGACCCGAAGTGCAAGTGGTGGAGCTGAAATGGGTCCATTCGCCTACTTCTGCGCCTTTTGCTCTCTCGTTTCGAGGCGGGAAGTCGGAGTACATGGATAAAGACGTGTCCGCTGAGAATTTACGGAGTGCTCTAATGAATATCGCGGTGGGAGCGTCGCTAGTTATGGGACACGTGGAGGTCTCACGCTCTACGATCAGCAGCAATCTCGGGTACCAGTGGACGGTGACGTTCGCTAGCGATGCGAACGCTGGCGACCAACCTTTACTGCAATTAGAGATTGGGAATGTGGTGGGGAGTGCGGACGTTACGGGGCGAGTAGTTGAGCTGACTTCGGGCATCGCCGTCCCTGTATTGACGACGCTTCCAGGGAAACCAGAGGTGCAAGTTCTGGCGACGTACCACGCCACAACAGCCGTGACAGGATACTTTCGACTCGGCTATAAGGGCTCTGCGTGGACGAATTATCTCCCAGCAAGTATCAGTGCCAACAACTTGAAACTCGCGCTCGAGAACCTCCCGACTATCGGCGTGGTGGATGTAAATCTCGAGTCGATGGCAGCTGCAGGTCACGTTTTCGCGCTCGGCCAAGTGTGGACGATCACGTTTATTTCTAACGTGGGGAATATACCTCCTCTTACCGTCGAGCCGTCGAAACTCACGCCATTTGACGCATTCCTGGGCGTCAAAGACGGTGACAACGCGGTCGATAGCAGTGGGGTGCTGTGCCTACCAGGTAGCGACATTTCGTGTCCTGGATCGTGGCCGCTTGCCCTTGGAGCGTTGAGACAACAGGCTGCGCCTCTGAAATCCATCGTGGACCTCGCTACACCTGGCGAAGCAGCAGTCGAGTACGCGTTCTACGAAACTTTAAATGCAGCGACAATAACCTACTCTGTCCCAAACTTGGTACCAGGTCAAACGTACTTTGTCGCTGTGACGGCCAAGAACCCGCTGGGACTGGGTCTTCGCTCTCCGACGTCTCCATCGAGTGTCATCCCTCCACTTCAAGTACCTGGTCCACCCACAAGTGTCTCGGTGGATGTAAACCCTGGCGTAGCGACTCAACTCGTGGCAACTTGGAATGCACCCATCAGTGACGGAGGTAGCGCAGTGAGAATGTATCGCATCGAGTTCGATTCGTCCCCGTTGTTCACGAACCGAGGCCAGCAAGACGCGTGGTGTCCAGTTGCACCCACGTATGCAGTCTGGAGAGTGCAGACCGTGCGTACAAGTTCTGCTGTACCCACGTCGAAGATCGCGAATGGATACTTCCAGCTGCAACTAACACGGCTAAACGCCGTGACTGTATCAGATCCTATTCCGTGGAATGCTGTCGCCACCGCTCAAGAAGAAGTCGGCTCGAACACAGTGTCGAGCTCGAAAGTTTTCTGCACCGTTTCTAGTCCAACTTGTACCAGTATGGCTAATTTCCCCTTCGGAAGACTGCAGCTCTCGGGCTCCGTGCAATCCAAGCTCAACTACTTGTCTCAAATCACGAACGGAGTGGATGTCCAGCGTACAACTCAAGCAGCCGACGGGGGATACACGTGGTCGATCACGTTCTTGGATCCGGGGGATAGCTTCGCGCTGACTGCAAAAAATGTACGACTGACGTGTACAGACCCGACTTTATGTACGACCGCTGCGTACGATGCGACGGTGACGAAAGTTCGCGCTGGAGTCATGCCTCCAGGCTGCGTAGGCGTTCGAATTGTGCCGGCTATCGGAGCGCTGAATAAGGGGCAGCTCTATAATGTTAGGGTATCGGCGTACAACGAGGTTGGCTTCGGTAAACCCGCGGTAGCTCCGAGTCCACAGAAACCCATGGTGGTTCCCGGTCCTCCGACTGCCGTGACACTCGCTGTGTACTCGGTATCGGAGCTCGTGCTGCTCTTCAGCCCGCCAGACGACAATGGCGGAGATATTGTCACAGCGTATGAGATTGAGTATTCGTCGGACAGCAACTTCGTGACCTCAAGGTCGGAGGTTGTGACGATCCTTACAGGCATGAGCGCACCGTATCGACGCGTTGTTTCCTCCCTTACTAAAGGCACGCCGTATTTCTTCCGTATTCGAGCAAGGAACTCCCAAGGCTACGGACAATTTCAGCGATCTGTACCATCGAAAATGCAGCCGTACACGACTCCCAGTGCCCCTACACAAGTGGCTCTGGGTACCACAAGCTCGACGATGCTTACGGTTCGCTGGGCTCCTCCCAGTGACGATGGTGGAGACTTGATCTCGGGTTATGTGGTGCAATGGGACGTTGCAGCTGGCTTCGACTCGTTAGCGTTAGCGATGGGCACAACGGTAACGGTAGGAGACTCAGCACAGCGGTCGTACACTATTACGGGGCTCTCACCAAGCACGATCTACTACGTCCGGGTATTTGCGAAGAACCGTGGAGGTCTGGGAACTCCACAGACTGCTACACCCGCTTCACTTGTACCCACAGTGACGCTCCCAGGCAAGCCGCACACGCTGACGATTGCGCCTACTCTGGTCCCTGGTGAGCTCCGTGTTTCGTGGCTTGCACCTGTTATTCCGTATCACGGTTATCCGTGTGCCGGAACACTCCAAGCACCAGGAAGCTGCCCCGTTGTCGGTGGATTGGACATGGCGTACGGCGGACTCGACCTGGACAGATACGTGATCCAGTACTCGGAAAAGAGCGACTTCTCTAGTCCCATCGAGACGACGACGCCGTCCTCAGTTGTCTCGGTGCTGCTCACTGGATTGGTGTCCGCGAAACCCTACTACGTACAAGTTCTAGCACAGAATTCTCAAGGACGCGGCTACTTCTGCAAGCGTACAAACACGCAAAGTCTGCTCTGTCCGGATCATCAACTTTTACTCGACAGCACAATAGTCACGGGCAGCTACGTCTACGCTGCACCACTTTAGGAGAAATACTTGTAACTTGACAATTTATCTGTGATTTTATTTAAACTTTTTCTAAGCTTCTACTTTGGTGCAGCGAAGACAAAGTCTCCCGTGACGACACTACCGTCTTCTAGCACTAAGTGGCCCGGGCAGAGCAGACCTTGGGCGTTCGCTCGCATGCAGAAGTCGCTGTTAAGTCCTTGACTATTCACCGTAAGAACCCTAACATAGTAGGTTTTCCCACTTTCGAGCCCCGATACAATTGCCGACGTGGTCGTAACACTGACCTCCTTAGCCAAAGAGAAGTCGCTAGAGTCTGCATATTGCACCAAGTAACTCTCAAGACTCACGCCTCCAAACACCATGTCTAGTCCACCCAAAACAGGGCAACTCTGAGGTGCTGGCAACGTCCCAGCACACGGAATTCCATGCGCTGGCATACGCGGTGGTTGCCATACAACTTGCAGCTGCCCGACAGTAGCCGTGGGCGCAGCAGCCAACGAGTTGGGTTTACCCGGACGCGTTGTAGCCGGTATTATCGACGCTGGAGTCGACGTCTGTGGAGTACCTTTACCTCCGAGGTTCTTGGCGAACACACGGACGTAGTACCGTGTGCCAGGCGTCAAGAGCGTTATCGTGTACGCCCGTTGAGTCGCGTCGTTGATCACCGCAGTGGTGCTTCCTGTGGCTAAGGAATCAAAGGTAGGAACCACATCCCATTGCACAATATACCCGGAAACCGCGTCTCCTCCGTCGTCAATAGGGGGAGCCCACCCCACCGTTAACATGGTCGAGCTGGTGATCCCAAGCACGACCTGTGTGGGTGAGCTTGGTGTCGTGTATGGTTGTTGTGAAGCTGGAGAAGAGACTTGGAATTGTCCAAGACCTTGCGAGTTGCGCGCTCGAACACGAACGTAGTACCGCGTTCCTTTCGTTAGAGACGAGATGATACGTTTGTAAGGAGAGCTCATACCCGTCGTCAGTTGGACGAGAGCGGAGCTAGGAGACGTGAATGCTGTATCTGTAGCCCACTGCACTTCGTACCCTGCGACTGTATCCCCACCGTTATCATCGGGTGGATTAAAGAGTACGACGAGCTCGGATACGGTTAGCACCGCCAAGGTCACGCCAGTTGGAGCTCCTGGGACCACCATAGGTTTCTGAGGAGACACAGCCAGTTGAGGATCTCCAAAGCCGATCTGGTTGTATGCGAATACGCGTACATAGTACAGTTGTCCCTTATTCAACGCACCCGAAGTGGGGATCACGTGGCTCCCAGAGCAGCTCGAAGGTTTGACACCGGCTCTGGACTTGGAAGGTGGAAGCACACCGTACGTCCCCGTACAACCAGCACCTGTACACGCGAGATTGACATCCCTAGGCGTAAGTGAGAAATCGTCTCCACCGTCTAGAAACGTGATCGTCCACATATAACCGCCACCATCTCCAGCACTGCGTGTGACCTCCACCCCACTCTCAAGTTGTGAAAACTGCCCGAGTTTCGACTGCATAGACCCCGAAGTTTGGATCTGAGCGGTCGTACAGACGGCAACTCCCGTCGTACAGAAAACGCCGGACGACGAAGATGACACAGAACTCGCCTCGTCACTCGCTCCCGCGACTGCGTTCCAAGGGATCGGGTCGGATACTTCCACGATGTTCCTCCGTGTCAGCTCTAATCGAAAGTATCCACTTGAGATCGGGTCTGTGGTCGGTGCGCTAGTCCTCACAGTCTGTACGACCCAGATAGCTGGTGTAGGTGCTACTGGACACCACTGATCTTGATGTCCTCTTGCAGTAAACTGCGACGACACGTCGTACTCTACACGATACATCCACACTGGACTCCCACCGTCACTTACTGGCGCGTCCCAACTAGCCACTAGCTGGGTGGAATACCCTGGGTTCACGTCGACACTTACGTTCACCGGCGGGCCAGGAACTTGCACGGGTGGCGTCACAGCATTCGGTGACGACAGCGTACGAGCTCCAAAGCCTTGTGCGTTTCTAGCAGAGACAGCGACCGAGTACGCATTCCCCGGTGTAAGCCCGGAAACAGTGTACGTCGTCGTACTGGCGTCCAGCGTCTCGTAGTATCCGTAATCGACAGCAACTTCCCCAGGCGTTGAAAGTTGAGCTATACTTTTCAGTGGAGCGGCCTGTTGTTTCAGGGTTTTGACAGCTGCGGGCCACAACCCAGGACATCCAGTTGTACCGTCCGGTAGACACAGTACCCCTGTCGTATCCACGGCGTTGTCTCCGTCTTTAACGCCTACGAACGCAGCGGCGGGGGTGATTCTGGATGAATCCACAACTAACGGCGCCAAATTGCCCACATTGGAGTCAAACGTGATCGTCCAGACTCGTCCATTCGACCACGCAGCTCCACTTAGCAGCATCGTCTCTACGTTTACCGTAACCACACCAATCGTCGGCAACGCCTCTAGCGCTAACTTCAAATCCGCAGCACTAACCGTTGCAGACAGATAGTTGGTCCACGCAGAGCCTTTGTAACTTAACCGGAAGTAGCCACCCACTGGGGTCGTATGATACGTCACCAGAACTTGAGCTTCTGTAGTTCCAGGGAAGGAATTTGTTGCTGGTACAGCAACTCCAGGCTGGACTTCGAACACCCGTCCACTAACGCCCGATCCTGCTGTAATCGTACCTTGCAAGTACTGAATTAGAGGTTGATTGCCGGCATTTTGGTTGGTGTTCGAGAACGTCACAATCCACTGAAAGCCTTGGACGATATTAACAGCCACGCGGGAAACCTCGATGTGTCCAATAGGGACGTTAGTTAGAGATGCCAGACCCATTAGAGCGAAACGAAGATTCGCCGCTGAAACATCCATAGGCAAAGGTGCAGTCGATAACCCTCCAAACGAAAGAGTAAAGGGGGCAGCCGACGGTTGTGTTGTCCATTTCAGTTCGATTGTCTGGATCTCTGGACGGGATACGGGTCGCCACCATTCCACTTTGTAGCCCGTTAACGGTAATCCGCCTGCATCTGCTGGTTTCTGCCACGTTACGGTAGCTGCGGTAATCGGAGATGACGAGACGGTAAGTGTACTCGCTCTAACGTTAACTGGGACGTTAGGGTGTCGTGTAGGTGTTTGAGGATTTGGAGCAATACTTGCTCGGCTGTAACCGATAGAGTTTACACTTTTCACCTGAGCGAAATAGCGAGTCCCTGTTACAAGCCCCGTAACGAGATAGAGACGGGGTCCTCCACTGTAAAGCTCTGGGGTGTTCCCACTATTCTCGAGGACTTCGACAGGCACACGCTTACCGACCGAGTCAAACGTGGAAACGGTATCCACGTCGATCCAAAACGCAGTTATCGCAGTCCCACCTGTCCCTTTTCCATCTCGAGTCGAAGGTTGGATCTGTAACTCTAACATCGTGGACGAGAACGGGTTAAGGTAGACTGACAACGGTGGATCCGGAGCCTTATCGGCCGTGATCGCAGTTAAGTGGTAGCTCCATTGACGGTTGTTAGGCGGTTCTCCACTTAGCGCAATCTGCTGCACAGGCACGGAATTTACCGCCGCCACTCGAACGTAGTACGTTTTACTGGATACGAGATTCGATATAACGTAACGGAATGGCGGGGTTACCTGGATCGCAGAGCCCGATAGTACTTGAGGTGGATACGTGTAGTAGTACAGTGGGTACGCTTGGCCATTAAAGTTGGCGCACGAATGACCAGGCTGGACTTGAATGGAGGTCGGGCCCACAGTATCCACCGTCAAAACGCAGGAATCATCTGCAAAAGTGAATTTTGAATACTGAACCAGGAAATTCGAGAGCGAAACTGAGACTGTCAGTGTGATTCCGTTGAGTTGAGAAGCACAATTTGCACAGATCTGACGTCCATGTTTGAAAGCAGTGTTCACGTCCCATTGGACGATATAGGACGAGATGTCGTTGTTGAAATTCGGACTCACGTTCGTTGTCGCTAACGGCGGAGGCGAGAAAAAGACTTCGATTTCTTTCCCAGAGATGACAGCAACGTTGACATTCGACGGTGAAGAAGGGACCTGGCTGGGTGTTGCGCTAATTAGACCCTTAACGGGTGCAGCACCCTTACCGTTATCGTTGTACCCAGTAACTTCGACGAAGTAGAGCTGTCCCATCGTCAGTTTCTTGGATGTTTGGGTGGGAAGATAGTAGCATTTGTCACAGCCACTACCGGATATTCGCACTGTAGAGTCGGTAGGGTACAGTCTCGGCACCTTCGCTCGTATATAACTCAATGAAGCCACACTTAGCATATCCACAGTCCACACGTATCCCTTCGTCCACTCGTACACTGAAACAGCAGTATCCGTTGATCCAAGATACCCAATCTCTCTTCCATTTAAGTCGCCAAGATACAACCGCGTCTTGTGTAACCCTGGAGAGCTCAAGTCTGCACGAACAGTGTACCAGTCTCCACCAATTCGAATCTTGTATCCGGGAAGTCCATACGCAGCCGAGTAAAAGCTGCAAGTCTCACCAGCACTACACGTCACGAAAATCTCGCCTTCGGTCACGTCGACTTTACCTGGTACAGGTCGGTAGGATAGTTCCCTATTGACACTTGCAGTTCGGATAGAGTCGAGGTCTTCCAGTGCGTAACGGAGTTGATCCGCACTAGACTCGGCGTTGAGAGGACGCGTGTACAGACCTTGGTAGCCCACCTGGAAAGTTCCGCTCATGGTTAGAGCGGGGTCGTCGTTGTACACGCCGTCGATAGAGGCTTCCGTATTAAACACAATTTGAGCATTAGCTCCAGCGTCAACCCCCTTGTCGATAGATAGAGTGATGTCTCCATACACCCGATCGAACACAATCTTGACATCGTCTGGTGTCGGACTCTTACACAACACCAACTGCGTTGCACTCGACACACTGATACTCTCCGCTTCGACGCCGAATAGATTCAGCAGACTCGTCTCGACTGCAGTTAGCGCCGCGTTGTAGCCTACGTCCGCGTGTTCCCCATTATACGAGAATCGTACTGTACCTGCTGTCGCGGTACAGGAGAAGACGACAACTTCTTTCCGAAAATTCGTCTTCCCAGTCTGAATCTCATCAACCGAAGCCTTGCTGCTGCTCGGCTTCAGTAGCGGGAGGTCGCCTGGCTGTGCTGTGAACGTGATCAGGACTTCCGCCCCCACTTCCAGCACAGTCTTGGCGGAAGACACATCGACTGAGCCGACACTAGAGAGCGTTTCCAGTGCCGTCTCCAAACCAGCGACCGTCGTAGCGCCTGCTGTTGTTCCTGCCGCCACTGCCGTCAACGTCGCAGTAGTTTCACCGCGGAATGACAACTCGAACGTCCCCACCGTGAGAATCTTGAGCTTCTGCACTTCATCCACCGGTCGGATCATGTGATTGGACCAAGCGAGACTGGCAGCGCTCGTGGTTATCCGCAGCGTCCTGTACAGAATCTCGGCGTCCGAGATGAAAACATCCGCCGGATTCGCTGTAAACTTGTCGGACGTATCCCATCGCACCTGATACTTAGTGATAGGACTGCCATTATCTGTCGCTGGCGGGTCGAACGACAGCCACAGCTGATCTCCAACCGCATTCGAACCTTTCGTGACCTCCTTCGTAAACACAACAGCTCCTTCCCCGGTTAAAGCACTCGCATTCCCTCGTAGCAGCGGTACATCTCCAGAGTTTAGGAAATTATCCAAGAACGTCACCACCCACGTGTACCCTCCTTCTTCATCAGGTCCCGTCCGAACAACATTCACTTTACCAACAACATCCAGAGCTTCGAGTTTCTCCTGCATCGAGGAGCCATCCGGGATGAAAGCTGCCATCGCCGCAGCATTCCAGCCAATAGGTGTCGTCACTGCATTAGCGTACGTAAGGGTGAACATCCCCCCTAGTGCGTTCCCCTTTCGCACTTCTCGTACCAAAATCTGACTGCTCGTTCCGACCAACAAACTCGTGACTCGTAACATTGGCACATCGCCTTTGTAGTCCAGAAACGTGATTGTCCAAGTGTACCCAAACTGTGGCGAAGGCTCCGACCGCTTCACTTGTACTGTACCCATCCGAGGCATCGCTTCTAGTGCCGTTTTTATAATATCTGCGTCGGCGTTAAATGGGATCGGAGACGAGGGTTCGATAAGGAAGCTGCCACTAAGTACGTTCCCATCGGTTCGAGTATCCGTCTCGCAGCCGGAACCGGTAGCAGTAAAAGTTGATGGGTCCACAGCGCAGATAAACTGCGGTAAATTCCCTTGCGAGTCTTCAAACACGATTGTCCAAATGTATCCACCTTGTTCGTCTGCAATCGACTGGGACACCAGAACGTCCCCAAAAACCGGTAATCGGTTAAGGTCAGTAGTGAGTTGAGCCGCAGTATCGGCATCTCCAGTGATAGGGTTGTTCGCAGCATAAACAAACGTGTTGGCGGTATTAAATCCACCCCAGTCAAGCATCTTTATCTCCACTTTGCCGTCTACCCCGACAGAAGTTAACGCATTGTTCGTCATCGTCTGGAAGGCGGTACACCCCGTATCCGAACTCAACCATATCATCAACGGTGTGTTCCCGTAGACACCGTTACCGTGGAAAAATACGGTGTACACGAACCCATCCACGTCAGTCTCTCTCGTCACGTACACGTTGTCAATATTGGGCATAGCTTCAAGACTGGTTTCCATCGTCTTTGCAGACGCATCGAACGGGATACAACCTGACACTTGATCCAGTCCTAAGTAGTTGAAATGCACCTTATAAGACCCCACCGCTAAGGGCTTCTTAGCCGACACAACAATCTGCTGTACGGCGGTATCTGTCCCCATCGCTACGTCCGTGTTCATGGCTACATCGCAGTGTACAGTGGCTCCACCAGTAGCTATGAAAGTCTTATCATCGCACACAATTTTCTTGGTTTCTCCAGCCACATTATTCCCAATAAAAGTGATCTGGAACACGTATCCATACTGAAAATCCACCGACGCGTCGCCGTCTCGTGTGACCACAACGTCATTCGTTCCAAGCGCTCCATTCACCACAGTAGCCAACGAGGTTTTAACCGTAAAAGCTGGTGCGTTCCACGATATCGCGCCGGTTTTGGCTCCAATGGTCGAGAAAGTTCCCGTGTTTCCATTCTGCACTTCTCTTTCGAACAGCAACGTGAAGGTGCCAGATAAAATCGCTGCAGACGCCCAGATCCTCACGGTTTGGACTGTCGGAACACGGAACGCGATTCTGCCTCGGATACAGTTACCGCCTGGACAGGACGATGGAGGAGCAAATGTCCGTAAGGTCTGAACTTCTGCTACACGTGCTGCAGTGGTCGAAATCTCTTGGATTTCCATCACGTGGGACGCAGCTAGACGTATCTCCTGGACTTCCCGCTCGTATAGAGCGTACCCTGCTGCGAGGTTCTGGACTCCAGACGCTTTGCTACTCGGTATGACGGAGGCTGAAGGACTGAACGAGCCGATGCCAACATCCGTCCACGCCGCAACGTGAGCGTAATACGTGATACCAGGGAGTAGATTAGAGATCGCGTACGTGTTCGACGCCGATCCTGACACGAAATCGTCCTGGATAGTCATGGACCCCCCTAAAAGACCTGACGTCTGCTTCCCTAATTTAGGGATATTCCCTAACGACGACTTGAATTTGATCATCCATAGGAAGCCGTTGACTTTGTAAACCTCCAACTTCTGCTCCACAGCGCTGGATAGATACCGAGCCGCTGTACTTGACGCTTCCGGTAACGCTAAAGGGATAGAGTTGGCCGTTAGAGTTGAGATTCCAGCTACACCTTGGCGTATAGTGGATGCTACAATATTCGACGGAGCAATGTGTGCACCCGTTGCTGCAACAACCGTAGTCGCAGCCACATTCCCCGTTACGGACGACCCGCTGAAGTAAATCATGTAAATGAAGCCATGAGGAGCCACGTCAGCGTTCGTCCGTCTGGTTACTATGAGGTCGTTTGCCCCCACCACAGTTGGAGTTAGCGCTATTCGAGCTGTACTCGTAAGCTCTAACTGGAGCGCAGTCTCGCTAACATCCCACGGAATAGGGTTCGTATTGGTTCCCAATACTTTTAGAGTATACGTTTCTCCACTCACGAAATTGTTGCTTGGGTTCGACACAACGAGCTGCTGGATCTCGAATTGCTCGTCCATGACGCGAAATTGCTGCGAAACACTGTGAGCTGTATGCGGCGAATTAGGGTTCTCTCCGTCGTAAGCGGTAGTTAGAGCAAATTCACCCGACGGACCGCCACCCTCCACAGCTCCTTCCACAACGATATTCGTCGTCGCGACCGTATTCGCACACGCTGTATCGCTATTCTGCACAGCTCCAAGTAACGGGAGCTTTCCCGTGACAGCATCGCCGACAAAAGTGATCCGATAAATGGCTCGGTCGGGGGAGACGAGTAAATCTTTGTCGAGAGAAACGAGGATATCACCGACACCACTTCCCGTTAGAGTTTGTATCGCAGTAGCAACGTCATTTGCCGACGCTGTAAACAGCAGACATGGCGACGTCTGCCCTCCAAACGTGATAGCGTAGGACCCCGTACCCGTGTCCTTTACAGTCACCACCTGCACTTCACTGCTCCCTCCAAGCTCAACCATCTCCACATATGCTTTACGAACACTACCACCTTTTTGAGCCCACCCATCGAGGCACACGTTATCCCCGTTATCTTTACTCTTCAGCGACATCAAGTTGACAGTCGGAGCAGCTTTGTAATCCATAAAGAAGATATCGTACGTGAATCCAGGAGCTCCTTGTCGTACTGTCTCTATCATCAACGCTGGGTACATCCCATCCTGCGCTCCACTGGAGCAAGCTCCAGTGCCAACATTACCAATCACAAGCTGCGGTACGTCTCCAAGTACACGACTCGTACCTCCACTAATGGGTCCTTGAAAGTGGATTAGATACTCGTAGCCGTAGCCCCAGTCGGCCCCTCCATCTCCAGTTCGCGTCACGTTAATGTGATCGATATTATTCAGCGTACCCAAGTTGCTCAAGCCGTTTAGAGCGACCTCGAGACCTTCAGCAGAGACACCATATTTCAAGCACGACGTAGCGGAAGTCTGTCCGTTTAGAGTGAACTGTACTCTAAACAATCCATTTACAGCTGTCACTGCCGTATTTGCAGTCATTCGAATGCGCTGGATCTCCGTCTGTGACGTCCCATTACCACTGCGAGTTACCACCACGTTTCCAGAAGATAAGGGCGTTTTTTCTAACGCTAACTTCACGTCACTAGCTGGAGCGCCCCATTTGATACAAGCCGAGCTTTGCGAGTTTAACACAAGCTGGAAAAAGCCTTTCGTGTCCTCAACTTGACCGTAATCCGTCGCGAACATCAGTCGTTGCTGCGGTATTTTCCCGCCGTGCGTGATGACGCCGGCAGTGACAGTAGCGTCACCGATCCCTGCGCAATAGTCCACCTTTAAGGGGGCCACATCTCCAGCCACGGATTCCCCCGTAAAGTACACAGAATACACATACCCTATCCGAGATCCGAACGTCGACGGACCCACACGTGACACCAAGACATCGCCTGAAGTAGCACTAGTGTCAAACGCGAACAAGAGACCGAAAATGGCCGCCTGCACCGTCGCTGCATCTTCGTTAAAGCGAAGACAGTTCGTAGGAGGTTTAGTGACTCCGTTACGGGTCATTGTTAGCTGAAACGCGTTCGTAACATACGCTGTTGACCACGTAGTCGAAGGCCTTGTAGCAGTTAGCGTTTGGACTTCATGGCCTGTGCGTTGAACGTTGTATACCAACCCGTCGATCCGTAACTGCATCCCCGGATAGAGTAACCTCGTTGTCTCCGCGTTAGCTACCACCACCGGCGATCGCGCTGTAACTTTGACGCGTGACGTGTCGATCAATCCCGTAAACGGTGCATCGCCATTCGTCCCCACCAAGTTATTAACCGAAGTGGATCCGAACCGAATGATGTCGGTACGAGCGATGTACTGACGAATATCGTCAACACCCGTTATCGTCGCTGTAACTCCATCTTGAGTTAGCGTTGCCGTCGCACCGGGAATCTTCTGAGTCAGCAAATATCCTTGCGTCACGTCCACTTCACCGAATAAATCCATCGCTTCGATCCCGAGCTTCATTTCTTCGGCTGAAGACGAGTAAGGAAGAGCAGGTGTTTGGCTCTCGGACGTATTGAGCGCAAACGCCCCCACTGACGGCGAAGAACCGGGAACATTTGTGTACACGTCGACCGATACCCCAGTACCCTGTAAAGCCGAGCGTGATACCGATAACGACGCCACATCCCCACTACCTGGAGGGAACGTGAAGCCTTTATAGTCGCCTGTCGCCTGCATAAACCGAATTCTCCAGCGATAACCACCTCGTGTCCCTCGGTTCTTAACTCGAACATCGTCCCAGCCACCCGAGCACGACGGATCCGTACACCCGGTAGCTGAAGACGGATACTTATAGCGCTTTACCGTAACGCGACCGACGGTATCCATTTCATTCAACTTACGTTGTAATCGATCCGGGTCTTCATCGAAGAAAATCTCTCGAGGACCGAACGACGAAGAGTGGAAATCCAGTAAAAACGATCCGCTGAGTCCCTTAGATCCCGGTGTTACCTGAGTCACCGTCATGTCATACTTGCTCGAGCCTGCTTCAGCTGCAAACGTCGTTGTTATATCCGGCAGATCGCCAGCCCCAGGCGGTGTAAAGGTCGGGTTAGAGATGAAGCGAACGAGCCACGACATCTCTCCGTATTTACCGTGCTCGGTTCGCTTAACGCTAACTTGGCGTCCGGTGTTGGTAGCAGCTGCTTCGAGTTGACGTTCTACCAGGTTTTCGTCCGCATTCCACGGTAAGAGGATCGACAGCCCCAGCCACGTCGTTGCGCCTGTGTTGCTAGTATCCATGTCACTACACGTTGTAGCAGTAACAGTTACGGATACGGTCGAGACCCCTGTAACTGTAAAAATACAGTTCTTGAACGTCCCTACTGTAATTCGATCTTGAGGAAGAAGCTGCTTTTGAAGTAGCTCCCCGTCAGCCTTGATCGTCAGTGACGATACCGAACACGACGTCGCCGCTGGAGCGACAGCACCAGGCGCGTTCGTGCACACAAGGCTGACGAAATACCTCGCTGCAACGCCAGCGTCTCCCTGCACTCTAAAATCCGTAAAATCTCCCCGTAAAATCGTTCCATCTTTGATTGTAACCACAGAAGCCACAGAGCTGGCTCCTGTCAGTGACGTACTTATCGGAACCATTTCCGGAACATTTCCAGGTGCATTACACAATAGAGAACCCGCAGCTTCTTCCAGTTGTTCGCAGGCATGACTGGCATCACTAGCATCTCGGAGGAAGGTCACTGTCCACGAGTATCCACCTGTGTTTGTAACCACGTCTCCTCTGGTAACAGCGACATCCCCCACATTGTCCATCTTCTCTAATATTTCTTCAACTGAAGTTCCGGTGTACCCACTTTGCTCTTTTGTAGCCCATGCGTTGTGTGCGATACTTACACTAGTCACAAGGGAGTTCACTGCCATGTGCGAATAAGTCGCAGGTCTTGAGTCTATCGAGACAGTAAACGATCCTTTAATGGGCCCGACTCCAGTCGTAGATACACTTGGTACACAGTTCTGACTCCCATCACTCGCAGTAGTCGTAAGCCCATCTGTAATGCATTTAACGAGGAACGTATGGCCTACATGACGTCCCCATGCTTTCGAGTATCCCGACTCCCATACATCGTCCCATGACGCTGGCGACGAGCTCTTCCAATTCCCGTCTATCCCCCCGGAATGGTCGCTAGTAGGGTCGACCCATTTAGACGAACGAAATGTGACATACCACGTATACCCAAGTACTTGCGTCGACGTGGGACCTCCTCGAGACACGACCACACTACTCGGTTTTATCGTACCCAACTTGTTCAGCTCCGTCTGTACCTCCGAGGCTTCGGCGTTAAAGGCGATAGGGGCAGTAGTCTCTCCGTTAAAGCTGAGTTGGAAATCACCCCCTAACTGGTTCCCCTTTACAGTTTCGTAAACCCCTAATCGGATATTTTTCCCAGTTAGAGTAGAGGATACAATCTGCAGCAGTCCAACGTCACCTCCCGTAGACGCGTCGGAGAAAGAAATCGTCCACGTGAAGCCTATCGCTTGGGTGGCAGCAGAACGCATGATTTCTATGGTAGGGATCTTAAGATTCGTGATGATGAAGCTCTCCAATACAGTGTCCCGGACACTGACATCCAACGACGCTAGCGATGTATCCACACCAATTCTACACGGAAGAGTAGAAGTCACGTCTCGGAACTTGAGCATCAAGGCTCCCAGCACTTGGTTTCCGTCTCGACTATTGGCAAAAGGGTCCAATGGGTGTGTAGCGTCTTCCACACTAGCAGTGGGCGCTCCATTCGTCGGGGTCGTTAGCGTTTTAGTGGCCCCAACGACAGTCCTCGTCACCATCTTAGGGATGTTCCCTCCTCGACTTGAGAACGTAATTTGCCACGTGAACCCACCCGACCATTTATTCCCCGTGGGAGAATACACTGATCTCTTTACAGTTACAGTTCCAAAAACCTTTTTAGTGCCTTGAGTTATACTTTCCAGATTACTTTTCAGATCCGTTTCCGAAACATCCCAAGGAATATCCCCAGTGTACACTGGAGTCGGAACCACTAGCGTTTGCATCGCATCCGCTTCACTGACCAACCCAATCTGGAACGTACCAATGATCATACTCCCCGTAACCGTGGGGGTAACCGTACACGTAGCACTTCCAGCCGCTGAGCATAACAGCGTCGGTATCGTACCAGAGCGTCTCCGGATCGTTAAAGTATACACCGATCCCACAAAGTAATCATCCACAAACTCGGAACGAGCAACTGTAGCGGAATCGATAGCACCTGTCAGTAAACCTTCCACGACGCTGGCACTGGAGATCGTCGTCGCTGCCGTTTTTAGCGGGATATCTCTCGACATCTGCGGTGTTTTGTACAGATTCAAAGTCTTTCCGGAGAACTCACTGCAATAGAGCCCAACGTCATTCGCAGCAACAACTATGGTCGTCGATGTCGGGGTCTTGGTCACAGTTCCCGCTTCAAACGAACATACCCCCGCGATCAGCTTCGCTCCAGAAACTACGTAGGTATCTGCCGTTAAATCTCCCGCTACTGTGAAGATCCCGCCGAGGAATGACGTCACACACCCAGCGCAAATACGAGCCGAGGCGCCTGGAGTGCACGCAGTACTGAAGGTTGTGATAGCGTTCGGATCTGAATACGATTCACAAGTGTATTTCACTGTAAAGACAGCGCTCGAAGCGTAATCCAATTCGCTTCCTGCTGTTGTTTGTACAGCTTGAGTGGGGATCCCCGAGACGGCATTGCCTCCGACCGTCACCGCCGCGTCAATTCCAAGTGTTGGCACGTTGCCCCCGACCTCCAAACCAGAGAAAACGATAGTGTACACGTACGTAAGGTCCGGTCCCGTCGGATTCTGCGTGCGCGTGACGTCGACCTTATCGACGTTGGCGAGGTCAATTAGAGCGTTCTTTACAGTTAGAGCAGCGCTACTTGCCGTAGTATCCTGAAGTGACGACACCAAGTTGATTGTTCGCTGGTACATTTTCTTAACACAATGCGTACAGATACTGCTGTCAAACGACAAGAAGATCGTTCCTCCAATGCTCGTAGCGGGGGTTGCAAACGCCCCCGGTAGCGTCAACGTTAGGGTTTGAACTTCGCTTGTACGCGGCACCACGACTTTTATTGTTTGGATCTGAAGAACTTCCGGGACAGACGTCCGGATCGCTTGTACCTCGTCCACATCGTCACCATCTAGCCGTAACTCCTGTACCTCGTTACGGTCGGTAGCTGTAGTTACAACAGTTTGAACCTCGTCCACGACCACACTATTCGTCGTGGTAATCACTTGAACTTCATCCACCCCCGTAAATGTCGTGCGAACCACTTGCTCTTCGTTCGTCACTTTGACTGTAGCATCCACGAATTGTTCCTCGTTCACAACATCATTCTGTAGCGTTACGGACTGCATTTCTCGGATAATCGGGATCGTAGCGCTGGAGCTCTGACCACTGGAGAAATCATCCTGCTCGTCCCACTCAACTAGATAAGACTTGAGACTTGCTCCCCCATCATAAAGAGGGTTCATCCACTCCGCTTTCACGGATTTGGAGGTTACTACCGACAGCTTTAAATTCTGCGGCGAGCTCGGTGGTTGGTCTGTAACTGTAACAAAAGCCGGCGTGGTAACTCGAGGAGCCCCCGCACCCTTAGCGTTGAATGCTGTAACCCGAATACTGTAAGTGGAACCAGCCGTTAGCTTCTCCGACCGAACTCCAGTAACGGCATCGTCTCCGCCGATAATGAACGACCGCTTCGTCCCATCCACACAGCCGAACGCTGGAGGAGAATCAAACCCTGCAGAGGCGTCCCATTCAACCATATACTGGGTGATAGGGAGGCCTCCATCGCCCCCGTAATACGTCTTTTCAGTAGACGAAGGCTTCCACTCTACCAAGATCGCGTAACTTGACAACACCTTGGCAGTCGGATCCTCTGGCCGACCGGGTGTGCGATCCACAGGCGTGATACTGCTCGGACTCGGCACTGCGAACGCTCCGTCGCCTTGGCTGTTCACTGCAAACACTCGAACGTAATACTTCCCCGCAGATGCAACTGGGATATTGTAGTAGAATGGCGCTGTGTCCGTCGATGATACGAGATAATCTGTCCTCATTGGGTTCGTGAAATCCGCAGACGTAGCCCATTGAATTTGATACGAGCTGATGGGAGCGCCGCCGTTGCTGATAGGAACATCCCACCGAAGCTTAACGAGTCTACTGGATAGAGCGAGCAACTCAACAGCTTGAGGGGCAGAAGGGATCGTCCGTGGAATCTGAAACGTAGGCCTAATACTCCCAGCGTACCCATACCCTTCACTGTTGTGTGCGCGAACTCGAATGGCGTATTTCTCACCAGTCTTTAGCCCAGGGATAACATAGCGTAGTTGTCCTGGTACTCCAATTTCAATTGGGACATCTGTCGCTCCATTTCGTTCGCAATACCTCGAAGGCTGAGCGCCGTTTAGGGTTCTTGCTGCCAGTATTTTGGCACCAGGTCCTTGGAGTTCCGTTCCGTCGACACTTAACAGCGAAATGTCATTCTTAAACTCGGATACAAACGTAATCAACCAGTTAAATCCGTAGCCATTCGTCGATCTCGCCACGTTTACAGCTCCGATTGTCACTAGATTCTCCAGCGCAGTCTTCATATCAAGTGCCGAAATATTATGAGGCAAAGGTGGGGTACTATCGGACAATCCTCCACTGGAAAATGCTACTCTAAATGTCCCACTAATCGGTTGGAGGCCTTTCTGGACCGAGTCCACAGCGATACCTGCTTTATCCCCTGTCCATCTGTCACTTGGAGATACCTGAATAAGCTCCTGAGGTCCGACATGCCCACCTAAGAACGTGATCGTCCACTCGTATCCGTACGCACTCTTATATACCGGTACTGGAACCGTAATGTCAAGTGCTGTATCGATAGTAAGGGTCGTGTCCGTAACGCCAACCGCAGCGTTAATGGTTCTCTTATTCCCATTGATCCAAATCACATCCCCCTGAGCCAGTTTCGAGCCACCTATCGTAGTTGTAGCAGTCCCATGAACTGCGACGGTCGTGGACGTAGCAGTCACAAGTAACCCGCCAATCACGCGCATGGATTCTGCTTTAGATACATCCACCGTTCCGACTGTCGATAAGCGCTCTAATCGCTCCTTGACCGAATTTAAACCAGTCGCAGGTGCATCCCATCGGATGTTCTCAGTCACTTCGCCGCCAAAGGACAGCTTGAAATATCCGCCAAGTGTCTGGGAATCCGCAAAATTCACTAAGCTCTGGATCTCTGGGATCCCTTTCCCCGCTGACGTCGTAATGGTCTGCTGTTCTTGGGTTCCTTCGGATCGATACCAATCGACCTTGTACTTGTCCACGCTACACAGCTCGCCTACGGTACTTGCGCTCCAGTCCACCTGTAACGTCGTTCCATCGACTACACTTGCCGTAACAGTCTTAGGAGCTGGCGGTTGGCTGCAGGTTACAGCACTGGCGAGTGGCGAATTAGCAGACCCGAAGCCGTCGGCATTGTACGCCATCACGTGTGCGTAGTACTTTACACCGGGGCGAAGATCTGTGACCGTAAAGCGGAAAGGGTCGGACCCCGTAACTTTATTCGCAACACGCACCACTGCATCAGTGCCCATAAGCTGCGAGCTGGCCACAGTCATTGTGAAAATGTTCCCAGCTCCGACCATTTCCTCCCCTCGCAGATACGCGAATGTGACGGACCATATGGCTGTATTGAGTGCTGCGGTTTGTGCCGTCTTCGTGACCTTGATAGAGTACGACGCGGTCGTCGCCTGTAACACAGCTTGCATCTCAAACGCCGACGCACTAACCAGTATCGTCCCCGTATTCTTGCCGTTAAAAGTCAGCGTAAACGATCCCGTAATTGGGGATACTCCATCTGTAACCACGTCCTGGACCTCGTGAGTGAAATCTCCCGTCGCCAGGTCACTAAAGCCCTGGACAAGCTCCATAACGCTAATACGAGGCGAATCGCCCGTCAACTGTCTTCCATCCGCAGCCAGTGGCGCTAAATCGCCCTTATTGTGCAGAAAAGTGATCTTCCACGTGAATCCAAACGCCACTTTGTCTCGCTTCACCAGCAGAGGATCGACAGCGACATTTACGGTACCTGTAATGATAGCGAGAGCGTCGGTCATCTCCGATTCAGAGCAATCGAACGGCAACGCGGAGGTCTTTCGACCACCCCAAGAAAGGGCAAAGGTGCCTCCAGCGCCTGCCGTGCGATAACTCGTGGTCACTTGCTGTACCTCGTATGTTTCTTGGATACTCGTCACACCATAATCATTACTGGAACTGTCAAAATTCGGAGAGGAATCCCATTCGATCCGGAACATGCTCACTTGTGCTCCTCCGGAATAAAATGGAGCCCAGTAGTTCAACGACAGCCACGTCGATCCATGGAATTCACCGAGAGCTACCCCTGTGGGTGGCGTGGGTACGACGGAGCTTGCTGACGTTTGAGCTTCGAACACTGAAACCGAGTCGCTGATTCCTCTGGAGTTGAGAGCGAAGATTCGGAACGCGTAAGCTTGACTACTTTCTAGAATCAGATTGTCTTGCTTGGTCACTGCGACGGCATTATTGCCTTGAACATAGGCGTTCAGGTTGGCTGTGGCTGGAGTGACGACGAGTAGCGGCAACTTCTTCATCGGGTACGTCCCCCAAAACGATACGGTATGGATTACAGTACCCCCATTTACTGTGGACACAACACTAACGCCGTCGACACTGTCAAGCGTCTCAAGTGCATTTTTCAGATCATCGTTGATAGTCGCCCATGGGATGTTCTTTGCGTTCGTGGTCCCGGTTACCAATACTGTCTCGCCTCCGAAACTTAAAGTATATGGCGTCGCTATTGCTACATCACTGACTTCCAGATGAATCGTCTGTGTGGATGCAGGATTGCCGACGCTAATCACATTAGGGGACACTGCCTTAGGGCTCCTCGTACCGATCCGAGCGTCGGTTCCTCGCCAATCGTGCTCTGGGATAGCGTCGATAGTGTCGAGACTTCCATCGTACGAGCGGAACACTAAATTCCACTTCCGTCCATTGGAAACATGGTACGCGAGCGTTCTCGTGATGCTCTCGGTGAACCCTCCGCTAACCTCAAGGTATCTCTTATTGACGGCAGTAACCGTGTACTTGTTCATATCAGCGGATACTGAGGGAAGCCACAGATCGTCTCCAACTTTGACGAGTTTTCTCAAATCCTCTGTCGTTTGGAGTCTATTATCAAAGACGTAAACCTTCGGACTTGCAGCAGCAATAGTGTCACCCGGATACGGTACGTTAGTCGTAACTTTTGCACCAGTCACACCTGCTACTGTGAACTTCGTGTTACCAACGAAAAACACATTGTTGATGGTGGAGCTAAATTCGTGGTCTGCTGGCATCTGGAACTCGTTGCTTCCTTTTGTTACTGCCACCACTTGTATTAGGGCTGAAATACCCACATAACCAGGTAAAGGTTTAATCTGTTTGGTGATCAATCCAGCCAAAACGTCATAGTTGGCTGACGTCGCTGAGACGGGAAACACTGTAAATAGTGTGATATCGGACAGGGTCATCGCCTTAACCGTGTAGGAGGCGGAAGGCGAGCCTAGCACCAGCGTTTCTCCAATCGCCAGGAAACGGGTCGGGTCTATCATCGCACCACCAAGCTTGATATTGGTCAAGAGACTGCTACCGGCAGTCGCATCGGCAGTCAACTCTAACGCGTATGCGCCAACATCACCTGCACTCTTGTCTCCTAGCGCCACCACTGAGTCCACGACGCTAAGTTTCTGTAGTTCCTGTGTAACTTTCATGTGCGTGGCAGAGAATCCGATCGGCTCTGTAGTTTCTCCACTAATTGCGATCCGGAATGAGCCGCTGATGTCATCTCGCTTGGCATCTGTGAACACCGTAACGGTGGGGTAGACGCTAATCAGAGCGTTTTGGCCTGTAAGACGCGAGTGTTGGATGAAAATGGCGTCGTCCTCGTCGTCTTGGTGCTTTGAGAACGTAACATGCCATGCCTTGCCGTAAGCTCCGTACTGACTCACACTGACGTTCACAGTTCCAGGTGCAGTGATGGAGTCGATTGCATCTCGCATCTCCCCTGCCCCCGTGTCTTTAAACGACAGAGGCGACGTCACTTCTCCCATATAGGACAGCGTGAAGGTGCCCCCGATCGTACTCGACGCATCTGCGAGAATTGTCTGCACTCCAGCTTGCCCTTTAGAGCACACACCTTCGTACTTTACGGTGTGAATCTGTCCGTAGACCTGCAAGTTCGGAGGTGCCCATAGCGTACACGTTCCCTTCCCGAACTCACTGTAATCGAACTGTAACGTCGGCCACTCGCCTGTCGGATAATAGCCCCAGAAACGCACGTGGTAGTCGTGAAAGTCCAAAATCTTCAACACTCGAGCTTCGTCAGTAAAATAATCGCAGGATCCTCGTGGAGTGACAGAAATCTTCGTGAGTCCAGCGGTAGGCGGAGCATCGACGACAAATTCACACGAATGTCTGGAGAAATCGTTGGGGTTCCGACTCACTTGGATGATGCTGTCTTGTAGTAACACACCCACTTGGGCACTAGTGAAAGCGCTCACCACAGTCAGTTTCCCGGTATTATCATAGTCTGTGACTGTCGCTGTGGTTGTGACTTTGAATGCACGCACTTCGTCCACCGTCACTTTCGAAACCAGATCTAGAGCTTCCAGATTCGCTTTCAAACTACTCAATGTTCCAGATTTACCCAACGTGATACAATCCGCTGTCGTCTCGCTCCCCAGCTTGAGTTTGAGCGAGCCATCCGTAGCTGTCGTCGGAGCAAACAGACGAACCACTTGAACGGACGAAGGAGCTCCCACGACGTACGTGTCGCACACTTTGTCGTCGTTATTGATCTCAAAGAAGCCGTAATGATCGGCTGGAATACCAGTTTTACCGAGCTCAACGCCGTATGAGCTAACTGGTATCGCTAGACTCGTGTCGATAGAAGTGAGCTGAGAAATAAACTGCAGTCCTGGGTATTTGCCGTGCACCACATCCCCTGCGTCATTGTCGAACGAGATCGTCCAGATGTAGCCATACGGGCCACGTTCACTTCCAGAATTATCCAATTTGAGTAGATCCTTATTCGCTGTAAAGTCTGGAGCACCATGTCCTAACTCCACGTCAATACTGGAGCTTCCCTCCACCGGCTGCACTCTAACGATAAAGCGCTTCCCTCCAACGTCAATACCTGCTCCCTTCGCAAGCATCGCGCATTGAAATGCATTTAACGTTGGCGTTGTAAGACGATTATTTGCCGATGTAAAAGTCACGCTAGGACTTCCCGTGAGCACATACAGCGCACGAGAGACTGAGACAGGACGGACAGAAGAAAGACTATTAAGAGCGCTTTGAAGAGAGCTAGCTGTGGTGTGTACAGACAACAGTGAGGTCACGTCGTCTCCGTACTGTAAGCGGAAGGTGCCAGTGATGTCGTTCTCGATAGAATTAAAGACGAAAACTTTCTTGGTCGCAACTTTTCCAAATGAATCGCCCACTGCATACTCGAACAAATATTTTGAGACAGAGTCGCCATGATCCACTGGGTTAGACAGTCGAAGCTCCAGTTGTGACCCGGATAAAGGCCACATTCCATTGATACCTGGTGGGTCAGGAGACGTCGATACGGCTGTTAAAAGCGGTAATGCACCTCGTCCACGCTGCTGCAAGTCGGTAGTACTCGCTCCATAGCCATTCTCGTTCCGAGCAAATGCACGCACGTAGTAGTTCTGCCCTGGATCCAGTCCGTCAATAATTGTTTCCAACGCGACATCCACACCTTTTACTATTTCTTGCACCACAACATTCACTCCCGTCCCTTTCAGTAACGTTTTCGCAGTAACCACAAGCAGTGGCAAGTCACCCATATTCGACAGAAAAGTGACCGTCCAAGTCGCTCCGAAGTCAGAATTCTCACTTCTTGTCACGTTCAGTCGTCCAATAGTAGCTAGACTCTGAAGCTTGGTCCGGACATCAGCTGCAGTGTCGTCAAAGTTGATCACTGCTCCACCTACGGACTGAAAGCTGACTGTGAAATATCCACTGATGTTGTCGGCACTTGCCTTCGTCGAGATCGTCTGCACTTCTTGCACCACTCCGCCAACTTCGGTTGAAGCCACCACTGCGTTGGCGGAATAATCGCCCTTAATCTCCGCCAGAGTCGTCGTCTGCGTGTCATCTTGTACGACTGAAGCTGTCACTGTACACGTGACACAGGCGACGCCGTACACATCAACAAAGTCCGTGGTTCCCGTCTTCTTGTCGACTCGAAGACGCACACTGTCGAGAGACTGGAACGTAACATACCAGCGATATCCGTTCGCCTTGGTGGGGCCGATACGCGACACGTCAATGGTCCCGACGCCGGGCAAGGCACTTAGCGCTCGCTTCATCTCCGCTGCCTCCGCATTCACACTCAACGTCGCTTTCTTCCGCGCGAACGCTGTTACATGCAGCGTCGTATCGTCCGTCCATAGCGAATCCAAAGTGAAACTAGTGGACCCAACATTCGCCACTTTAAACACCTTGGAGCCGATCTGGACCTGTTCTCCATCTGCAATTCTAGAGCTGAAACTGACGGACGTAGGGACCAAATTCGACGTCTTCGAGACTTGGACGTTGCCCAGCGCCGTATCCATCACTTGAATCGCTGTAGCCACTGTAACTCCACGAACGTGATACGAATCCAGCGGTAATTCCGAGTCTGTAAACGGAGCAGTGGCGTGAACCGTGAACTCTTCGCCTCCAATTCGCACTCGATCTCCTCGATTCACAACTCCCAACATGGATCCTACAGTCTTCGCTGTCCTCGATCCTGCAGCCACAGTCGCTGTAACTACAGGATTCGTGTTTATCCATTGCCCTTCAAAGCCGATCGACAAATCGAATGTCCCTCCCAGCACTTTCGCCCCCGAGCTTTCAGTCGACGCAATCTCCCACACTTCTGGATAAAATCCAGGAGCGCCTGACGTCACGTGAGCCCCCTCAAAGGACAACACTCGGTTCGGAGGTTGCACGGCTTGGCATCCTGTTGTATCCCCCACCAATAAATCCGATTGTCGGCCACTAACGAGATACGCGCCGTCGAATGTGACGCGGTAGACAAATCCGTTCTTGGCAGCCCCAAAGACCGATCTCGAGACCCCGACACTGTCCACATTGGGCAGTTCTTCCAGTGCCATCTCCAGCGCCACCTCACTGGCATTCCACGGGATACACGACGTCGTCTCGGTGCCTCGACTGTTCTTGAACGTTACTTTATACCCGCCCGATAGAATGGGCCCAGTCGCTGCCACGGAGAATGTTTGCACCTCGTCCACGCGTCGTGCCACTTCCACTTTGTACCCAAGCACGGGGGCGCCATTGACGCCCTCGGGTTTGACATTAAGTGGTGGGCAGAACTGAACACGCATCGATGTGTCACTCGCAGGAGACACCAAAACCTTCTCGGGCGGACCGGGGACGTCTCCTGGAGTGAAAAATGCGGCATTGGCAACAGCGATGGACAGAAATATGAGAGCCAGAATCAGGTAATTAACGTGAGACGCCCGACAGAATCGGTCTCGGTTCATGCTGCCCCAGTCAGGTGCTGTCACAAGCGGCTCTGTGGTTCGGCACGAAACGACGTGGATCTTTTTAGCATCGAAAATATTCCTGGGTGTTTTTATTTTTATTTTTGTTCTGGCTGCTCTTGTTTCTAAAGGCGTAGCAATGTATTGCCTATTATCGGATAGTTCGCAGAAAGTTAAGATACTTCAGAATTTTTCCTGTGTACAATTCGATAGAGTGGGTTTATTATTTCAAATGGTATTGTGGGGTGATGGCGTGGCTGGATGCGGACCTTGCGGCGCTGCCCCGGACAAGCGGCAGTCTGGCGGCTCCGGATATCAAAGTGGAGTTGCTGGCGATGGCTTCTTCTACAGTGACCAAGTGGACCACGTGCGGGACACACGCTGCCCACGTGGCAGGGGGCATCTTGCTAGCTAAGTCGAACATAGTGGCGGGCGGTTCATTCTGTTTATCTGGCACAGACCACTTGGTCGGATGGCCATACTGTGGTGTAGGGATTTCCAGATTCGACCAAACGCCAACTTACTTTAGGTCAAGAATCGGCTCGGTCTGATAACCCAGAGCTTAGAAGCAAAGGATCACGGCAAGTACTCGGCGATCTGTCCGGATATATCCGGATAGCCGCTGAGCTCAACGGTCGCCGGAACTCAGCTGAAGGGTCCGTAGAGATCCGAAACGACTACATTTCACTAGATATTTGTATGAGAAGCATAGGATTAAATAGGGTAGCCGAAAGGGCTCCCAGAAGATAACAGAGCAGAATTTTCCTAGTCCAAGACACGTATACACTTTTCCGGTAAGTTCCTGCATAGGGCTGGATTATGCCTGCCGTGAATACTCGAGAGGCATAGTTTGTAGGGTATTGACTGGTAGCGCCAAGAGATTAGGTCGGTCCGGGTAGGACAAAGTCTCGCTACGCGCAAAAGAAAGTCCCGTATACTCAGCGGGCCGGTACGTCGGATAGCCCGGGTGCCGTAACACTTCTAGCTGAGCTGCCTCTGCGCTCGGTGACCTGTAAAAGCGCTCGCGCGCCGTCGTCCATCCTTTGGTGGAGGGCACAGGGTTGTGAACGAGCTCAGCCGAACCAAACTCGGCGGAGCCTCGGAAGTGATCTGACTTGATTAGTCGGAACCGAGTGGAAGCGAGCCACTCGTCTGTCCCGGAAGGGCCGGACAGCGAGGGGACCACCCTCTGCGCAGGCCATACAACCGCCGACCTAACTCGGCGATTCGTTGTGGTTTGTGTAAGGAATCCACATCTGAAGGTCACTGGTGCCGCGACCCGGGAACAGGAGTGTGTGCTTGTTTTTATAGGTGCCAGCTAACCAAGTTAAGAGGAAGAGAAGAGAAAGAGAAGTGTGAAGATGGTCAAGAAATCAGCAACTCCGAGCGACGGAAGCCCAGCGACGGCTGGAGGATCGCCTCTCGCGGGGTCGGACCCGGCGGATCAACGACTCATCGCCATGACGATGGAGGTGGGACGAACCGTCCAGTTCGACGAGGATAGCCAAGACCAGGAGAGCGAAAACGGAGATGCAAGTGAAGGAGAGTATGAAGAGAAGGCCGAGACCGCTGAGCTCGGAGGCACGAAGACTACCGCCGAGCTACTTGGCGAGGTGGGAGAGTTGACGCTGCAGGTGGGACGCATGGGAGCCCCACGTCCTGTCGAGCGCAACTTATCCGCCGAGCTCGACGAAGGTGCGGACGATGAAGAAGATGAAGAAGAACATGGCGTTGCTCAAGGGGACCGTCCGCCCCTTATTCCGAAAGCGACGAGGAACGCCGATACGCCGAGCGCCAATATAGTGTTGGCTCGACTCGGCAAAGAGATGAGAACGAGATCGGAATGGATGATGATGTTCGCGCCTGTGGCGATGGCGCAGGCGAAGTGGCCGATGTTGGGTCCCAAGCTAACTCAACCGGTGCGTGCAGCCAACATCAATCAGTTGGTGGAAGAAACTGTGTTGCTGTTGAAGGCGATGGGCAATCGGTGCAACAGTCGACCAAACAGCCTCATCCTGTCCGACTGGAGTTTGACCCGTGGCGGAGCTGAGCTCTGGCAATGGAAGAAGAAGTTGAGAGTGGCGTTTGGATTGGAGAAGGCCCCTGGTGGAACGAAGAAGGTGTACAGCCCGAGTAGACGAGTTCAAACCACTCGGCGAAGACCCAAGCAAAACTCCTTTGCCGAAGACCCCGGAGACGAAGAGACGTGAAGTGTTCCGCGCTACGCAAGGGACTTCGTACTTCGAAGACTCCCACATGCTGACTCCAATGAAGCTAAACCCGACCCAGCGAGCGCCGAGTCGTGGACAGCGGAATGTTGGTCGTTACCGTGAATTGTATGACGCTGCAGACGAGGCTGAGGCTTACGAGGAGGATGAAGAAGAAGACGGCGCTTTCGATGTGAGAGGAAACCGTGAAGAAACCGTGAAGGACTACATCCGGAACTTGAGCTTTGACGCGGCTGAAGAAGACTCGACGCAGTACCTAGAAGTCCGAACCCACGCCTCGCTCGACAAAATCGCCGAGTTCGAAGGAAAGCGCTACCGCTCTGACGCGTCGCTCCAGTGGCTCAAGCGTTTCATCTACGTGATGAAGAGCACCAGGATGCCCAAACGTGCCTGGTGCGAGCCTTTCTCGCTATGCTTGGGACGCGCGGCGAAGAGTTGGTACAGGCAGCTGCCGAAGAAGACTCAGCGACGTTGGAAACTACTCAGCGAGGCGTTCCTGGATTATTATTGCTCACAGCTCGACGAATCCGCCCGCACTCGTTACTACTCGGCGAGACGTAAAGTCAACGAACCGATCTGCGACTTCCTGATCCGACTCAACGGGTATGCTCGGACAGCCAAGATTCAGTACGAGAAGGGTGGCGCCGACGCAGCTGACCATGTCGAACACTTCTTGCTACATTGTGGTGATGACGATGTGATGGATTTGATGTACCCCTTGCAGTTGGAAGACATCAGTAAGGTGGAACAGATAAACAATCGTCGGATCCTCGGCGAAAAGCGCAAGAAGCAACGCGACCGACTCGTGATCGCACGAGGCCAAGACGACAGGCGGAAGGAGTAAAGCCGCCGAGATGAACGCCGAGATGGACGTCGAGATGAGAAGCGCAGTCGCAAGAAAGAAAACCGCGACCGCCGAGTCACTGTCATTGACGCTGACTCTGACGGGGAGGAGCTCATCGATCAGGACCCGCCGAGTCCGTACAACTCCGAAGACGAATGGGATGATGAGGACCAGTCCGGAGGACACAACTCAGCGGAAGACGACGACTACATAGACGCCGGCGTTTCCAATGACAAGGGAAATACACCAGACCGCCGAGAGAACTCGGCGGGAGACCAGAATGGCTCGAATCGAAGTTGGGAAAACTCAGCGAACCGACCTCCGCGACCGTACAACCAACGAGAACAGTCGAACCGTGGAGATGGATCACGCGACAACGCACAGCGTGGACCTTGTGCAGCTTGCGGAAGAACGGGGCACTCGGCTCACTACTGTCGACGACGCTGCAAATTCTGCAGACAAGTCCATGAAGGCGGCCAGTGCGAGCTGTTCGTCAATATGAGAAGCTGGCAGCGTTCGTGAAAAACTCTGTCGACAAGTCGCAAGTGCCAGAAGACCTGCAAAACCTTTACGCGCCGAGTGGTTTAAACTCGGCGGCCCGCCAACACTGACTGGGTTGGAATATGCCGGGCTGCCACAGTCAGCTGAGCCTGCAGTTGAGGCGAACTTCTTGTCTGCCTTCGTAGGTGAAGCAGGACGGCCCGAGGGAAGAAGCGGGGATGGCAATTGGATGTGTGAAATCGACGGAATTGAACGTGAGCTCGGTGAGTTAGATGATAACCACCGAGCGATTGGAAGTGTAACTCGGCAGTCAGACCAGGCTGTGCATCGAACCAGAATCATGAAGCTGCTTTCGGGAGAACGGCTGGGATGGAGGTCAGCACGGAAGTTTGATCGCCGAGTTAGAATGAGAGCTCTCGTATTGGGTACAGTCAACGACCGAAGGACCAAGATATTATTGGATACCGGAGCAAATGTCTCGGCGATTAGTGAATACTTCGCGAGGAAACTGCGTCTCAAGAGAGTGGCCAGCCGAGATAAGCGAATCGACATACAAGGAATAAGTAAAGACAGAATGGTGACAACGTCAAGAGCAGTTGTGAAGGTGACACTCGGCTGGGAAGTGGCATACGAGTTTGAAGTATGGATAATGCCTCATCATGCCGGAGTCGATTTGATTCTCGGCACCGACTTCATGATCCCAGCTGGGATCCGTCTGGATCTGTACAACTCGGCTGTCAAGCTACCCGATGAGATGGTGATCCCACTCATCCGATCAAGTAATGCGCCGACCAAGACCGAGTTCGGACCAAATGTCCTATGCAGACCACCAGACGGGTTAACAATCGAAAGTCGAATGACCGCTGAGTTCAAATTGCCCAGGCGACAGCCCAGTGAGTCGACGCATGACTTGTGGGTGCGACGGACGAAGGGTCGGATTCCAACAGTTGTGTTTAACCGCCGAGAAAGACCAACCCATGTCCTGAATACGAGCGTACGACCGACGTCAGTCTGGTACCCACCTCACTTTTATGTGA